CGACTGCAACATCTGCAGCTGCTGTTGCATGTTGCTGCTGCAGAAGTTGCTCTCGTTGATGAGTTGCATAGTTTGCCACAGCAGCTCGGACATCTTAGGGGATTTCGTGTGAGGAGCACTGTTCCTGACAGGCCATCATTTATGCCAGGGTTAGAGAGCAGATTTAACAAGCGATTTTACGGCTTGCAGGTGGAAAAATCGACAAACTTAAACAGTAAAATTTTGGAAAATATTATATGCGATAATATTGTTTTTGCCTTTTTATAATTTATCTACAAGAACATCTAATCTTACATATTTTCATGAAAAGTCAACATACCAATCCAAATATCAATGTTATTTATTTCATTTGGTAGTTAATCTTTAGATTATCATCGATAAGTGTAAATGTGTTTATATGTAAACAAGTTATCTTATCTTTTCGTAAATTGACTTCTCATGCAAATTTATTTGCGTTTAAAAAATTCATAAATACAAATAATCTATAATCTCGCTCTCTATATAAATATGATTTCATATATTTTTGGTTACAAGAAAATTATACTCCAAAAATATATAAATAATAGTGCATAGATGACGCTTTAAGTATATCCATATTAATGCATTCCATTAAGATATCAAAGGCTAATAAAATCATAAGATAATCGTAAATTCGGGTTATTTTATCGCTCGATTATCTCAATTTTTCGGTATTCGGTGAAATATTCAATCAAGCAATAAATGCCTGCACTGATCTTGTGAATGATCTTGGGTATTAATCTCTTCTATCTGAAGTATTTCTCATTGACTTTATTGCCCGTGCGTGTCTGTCTCTTTGCTTTTCTATTTGTTTGTTTGTCGTTGGATGTTTGTTGTGACGCTTTTGGTATCAGGTTGCCATTGCCTCGTTAGAGAGTCTACATGAATGTGTGTGAGCCGCGATCCTGCCAGCGAATATTTGTTGTCGCCGCATTGCAAGTTGCAAGTTGCTGGTGTGCAGTTGTTGCTGCTGATGTTGCTGCTGCTGCTTGGACTGATGTAACAAGGTTTAATTTTCCATTTCAGTGAGCGGCTCGCTTTGGAGATTTTTACTCTCGTTTTTCATTGTGTGTCGCCGACTTTGGCTTGGTTTTCCTTTTAGCCAAGTCTTAGTCTTGGCTTTGGTTGTGGTTTAGTTGCGCTTGATTATGCTTTTGGCTTTTGCTATTGCCGCTGCTGAAGCGCGACTGCATCGAATGATTGTCATGATTATAACGATAATTATGCGGCCAGCATTTAATAATCATGATGCCGCCGCTGATGACGGGGGTTCGTCTGAAAATTGACAAAGTTAATTTCGGGCTACTCGTAGGATTCCCGCTCTATAACTATGCATCAGTTACAGAGCCCACACTGAGCAAAAATGCTTGTTACATACTTGAAATACTTTAGCAATTTGTTTTTAAAATTTGGAAATTCAGATAATAAAATTACCCCTGTCAAAAATATGTAAAAAACAAGTCATGTTCAACTAGGTACTTCTAAAATTCATTGCGATTATTGTGAGATATTAATAATATGACAATTTAAAATGGTTAAAGTTTAACCTTTGTCTATTAAAATAATTCTTAAGCCAAATTTTAAGGTTATTAATGTGCACAAGTATTGCACTAATTATTGCTTCAACTAAATTTTGTTATACCAAAATTGTAAACAAGTAAATTGTTAACATGCCTATAGTTGCAATAAATAAATCAAATTTTATGTTTTAGTTTTTACTATGTTGTAAGGTTGTACTATTATTGAAAATAAGTGAATATGCAGTGAATATGTAAGTAACTGGTTTCTTTGGGCTATTCTTTCAGTGCAGTTGCAATCCCGTACTAGCAACATTGTCAACAGCAACAACATCTCCTCCGCTGGACATTTTTGCCAATCTGGAGCGCAGTTTTCCATCGTCGCCATCGTCTGTCTGCCTGACTGCGTTTTTCGCGGTTTTACAACTTTGATTTCACTTTTCTTTGCAACATGCGACGCCGCTTGCGGGATTTTATTCGTATTTTTCGTACTCGCATTTGTATCTGTGGCTGTGCATCTGCAGCCGTACCTGTATCTGAATCTGTATCCGTACCTTCACCGTCCGTTTCTTGAACTGTTTGCTTCATTGCTTTAATTGGTTTTTTTTTTGTGTATTTTCTTCTTGGCTTTCGCAGGCATCCGCTTAAAGGTGATCATCGCCACGACGATCGCGTCGCTGATGATGATGCAGTGTCGTCCAGCTTAAGAGTGGGCTATAATTGTCAACCGCTTTGGCACGTTTGCAACAAATTATAAAACACATCGCGGTGTTTTTGGGCAGTGGAGAGCGGTCTGGAGTTTTGGGCGCTGGCGAGATTTTACTTTTGACAAGCAAAAGTCATATGAAAGGTGTTGACGCTTCAGGTGCAAGATGAGCTTAATTGGCTCTGTCAGGTTAAAATTCATTCATTACTGTGGATTTTACTTTAATTAAAATGTACCTTCTAAAATGTACAAATTATATTATTGACTTCTTTACAAAGGTTTCTTGCTACAAGAACTTTTATTCGAGTTCCTTAAATCAATAAAAGATGACGAAATATATATCTATTTACAATTTCATTCACTCTAAAAAATATTCCCAGTGTCATCTCTAATTTGGTCGATCTCGTTTTTGTTTTATTTATTTAATCAATATCCCCAACTTTGTTAACAGCTAAGCAAATATTTTAAAATTATATACATCTTTATTAATAAAAAATTTTTGTAAACATTTGGGGAATCATTAGGTAAACAATAAATTGCTAATCATGCTTACAATAGAAAAAAACATATGTGCTTTTATGATAACAAATTGTTAAATTTGGTAAAAGCCGACCAATTCAAAAATACAACTTTATACTGAAATTCCGTGAAGAATATACATGTCTATCTTAAAAAAGGTTCTCCTCAAAAAAACCACTCATTATAAAGCACTTGATTGTTGCGTTTATAAATGCAGCAATCTTTCCACGCGTTCTCAAGCTCTAATTACAATTCTATAACAATAATTTTCAACTCCATAACACCGCAGACAACAAATCAAAGGCAGCAAATGCGGCTAATTAACTTTTTGGCAACACGGCTAGCCAGCAACAACGACAAAAGGCAATTTGTTGTCGCCAGACGATCGCTAAATGCTGCAACAACAACAGCAGGAGGAGCAACAAGAGCAACAGCAACATCAGCGACGACAGCAACAACCCACGAAAATGTCTCATGAAAAATTCTGTTCTAGATAGGAGAACAGAGCTCCATAGATCAACGCGCCCACCTGAATGCAAGTTGTCTGTTAAAGTTGATGTTGTTGCTGCTGCTGCTGCAGCTTGCTGTTGCAGTTGGCAAATATGCAACTCTTTTTGCTATTGCTGTGGAGCTTGGTTCACATGATGAGTTGAGGAGTTGGGGATCGCTTTTAGGTCTTTTCTTGGCGTGCCATCTGCCCAGTGTCGAGCTTAGGCTGGTGCACAGCGGAAAAAGCATTCGAAGCATAATTAATATTCTTTAGAAAAATACATTTCCTTAAACTTCTGTATGCATGATAAAAAAAGTCTTGATTAAATGGGAAAACTTTAAACTTCTTAAAAGTAGTATTTCCCAGATTTTTTATTATATTGAGATTAAAATATATCTAGTGTGTGTTTAGTGATTTTGTACAATACCTTTAAAAATAATTTTAATAATAGAGATTTAAATTGTTTAAATGACCTTAATTTACCTTGAATTTCACCCTTTTGTAAATGTGCTTTAAAATATTTGAACAAAAATTACAACACAGCCTTAAGGAGGAGATGGATACCATCCTAAGGTAATAATATATTGACTAAAAAATATTAAATGATGCTATTAAAAGACCTCAATAAATATTAAAACTGTATATTAATTCTTTATTTTCGCAAAGTGTAACCTCCTCCCTCCTTATTTTAACCCACGCATTTCCCGTTGCCTTGCACGCACCTTTAAGCGATGTTAAACGACCTCCACACGAGGTGTCACTGTACCCCACTTCCTACCCATAACCCACCCCCACCGGCCCCTCAAGATGTGTGCTTAGATGTTTGTCTGGCCGTCTGTTTGTCTTACATAATCGTCACTCTAGATACCGTTTTTTGTTAATTTTCATGACTTCTTTTTTTTGTCGGTTTTCAAGTATTTTTCCACCCTAAAACAACAGACAATAGAACAATTGTTTAAACATTTTGGTGGTCTCCCCTTCCTTTTCGAGGCTTTTGGCATTGCGGGCAAAAGTAAAAAAAATAGAAGAAAATAACCAAACTTTTTTTTATAATATGTTCTCTTGGTTTCAGTACTGTTGGCAAGGGTACTATTATTAGTTTTCTATGTGGACGGGCCCATTATGAGTTAGGTGGAATTACCGCAGACCTATTGAGGATATAGCACAGCTGCGAAAATGGAACTCTGTGACGCACCCGGGAACTGGGTTTATTGGACATAGATCTGGATTTGGTAATGGGTGTTTGTTTTAGGTAAACTGTGAACATACTTGTGAAGAAGTGCGTCATCATTTAGGTCTATGTACACAAAAAAACCTTTGAAGGAATAGATTTCTATTAATAACATAAAAACCCAGACATTTTTTTTAGAGTTGGTTTTTTCAAGATACCTCAATGCTAAGTTTATAGAACATTACATAAACAATTATTTAAAAGGCACTATGTACTTAAGAAAAAAACAAAAACTTATAAATTATTGTTACTTATTAGAAATCTAGTTTTCTATTACATTTTATACATCTGTCTCCAAATTAAGGTTCTTACAAAAATTGATTATACTAACATTTTTCATAAACGGAACAATAATGTCTCTTAATGTTCTATTTAACTTATTATTGACAAAAGGTACTTACCAGTCTTAACCCATTAAAAACTTAAACTGTGCTTTTTAACTAATTAATATATGTATACAATAATTAATTCTGCCTCTTAACTATGTATTAATCGATTTACCTGTGTTTTTCCTTTCAGGTATATAACTCCTGTTAAACGAAGGCAACTTTAAATCAGAATCATTTGTAGTGTCGTCAGCAGCAGGCGACCAGGAAAACAAAAGCGAACCTTAAACTAAGAACCAACAAGCCGGCAGCTTGGGCAATCAATCGAAACGCCAATCAATCAATCAATCAATAGGATAAGTGCAGGAAAACGGAGGAAAAACTCGGTTAAGGCCCGTGAGCGACTTATGAGAGTTATGAGAGAGAAAGACCACTCACCAAGAAAGATGCTTCCTAGCCCGAAACAGGGCTGCGTATACCCTGCCTTAGGATTAATACCCACATCGTATATATCACACGTACCTTATGATCTGGCCTCCTCGGCGGCGGCAACATCCTCGTCCTCATCGTCGTCCTCACCGACGACGACAACAACAACGACAACTGGCCGACAACTGCAACATCAGTCGCTGTCACAGTCGCAGCAGCAACATCAGCACTCCCACCAGCAACATCAGACGTTAAATCACCATGCCAAGGGCAAGAGAAGAAGCAGTTTCGATCAGCCGTTGGATCTGCGATTGGCCCACAAGAGGAAGACGGATTTGGCGGATCAAGGACCTCTGGAGGATGAGAACAGCAACCTGATTATGTTCGCCAGCGAACTGGCAGTGGCTCAGCAGAAGGAGAAGGAGCTGAACAACAATCACATAGCTGCCTCGCTGGCCGATCTGGGCTTTGATATGAGCCGGAAAATGCTGAGGGCCCTGAGGGAGGGCGGCGCAGGAGGAGGTGGAGGGGGTGGACCCCCCACCGGACCACCACTAACACCACCGCAATGTTCGATTCCTGCCGTGCATCCCACACTCCTAGAAGCCATGACCAAGAACTTGCCCCTGCAGTATCGCAATGTGTTCGCAGGAGTTCTGCCCGGCAAGGTGACCAGTCCGGTGGCCTCCAGTAGTCCCACCGGATCGGACTTCCCCTTCAGGCATCCGCTCAAGAAGTGCGAGCTCACCTGGCCGCCACCCACAGAACAGTTGCAACTGGAGCTGCCCCATCCGAATCCCAAGTTGTCGCCGGTCTTGCCGCATCCGCAACTGCAGGACTATCAGACGCGGAGGAAGAACAAGGCCAGGACAGCGGCCACGGGGGGCAATGCCACGCCCAATCTGCCGCAACGCAACAAGGATCGTTATACCTGCAAGTTTTGCGGCAAAGTCTTTCCGAGATCGGCGAATCTGACGCGGCATCTGAGAACGCACACGGGCGAACAGCCCTACAAGTGCAAATACTGCGAACGTTCCTTCAGCATTTCCTCGAATTTGCAGCGCCATGTGCGGAATATCCACAACAAGGAGAGACCCTTCAAGTGTGAGATATGTGAGCGTTGCTTTGGCCAACAGACGAACCTGGACAGGCATCTCAAGAAGCACGAATCGGATGCCGTCTCCTTGAGTGCCTTGTCGGGGGTGAGTGAGAGGATGCACTGCATACGCAGATTCTGCGAGAATCCAACAGAAGAGTCCTATTTCGAGGAGATACGCAGCTTCATGGGCAAGGTCACACAGCAGCAGCAGCAACAGCAGCAGCATCACGACCAGCAGCAGCAGCAGCAACAGCAACATCAGTCAACAGCAACATCGGCGGCCAGTTCGTGTTCCTCGTCGCGTGACACGCCCACTTCCTCGCAGGAGGAGGCGGACAACACGGCAGCAACATCAACGGCTGAGACGGCAGCAACATCGTCCAGCAGAGATCAGGAGGAGGAGGATTCGCAGCCCATCCTGGAGCTGAAGAAGACCCTGACCTCCAAGCTGTTTCCCACAACAACAACAGCAGCAGCAGCAGCGACAATCAAGCCGCCAGCAACATCTATCAAGGAAGAGGAACCCTAACTACACCCCAGCAATTTCTACAACAAATTTCCTATAGCAGAGCAGCCAGAAGGAGGTAAAGAGGTCCCGAAAACTATGTCTAACATCTAGCTGAGGGCAGATCCCTAAAACTATGTCTAAAATCTAGCTGTAAATATATATATACATACCTAAACCCTAAATGTTCTACAACTATGTGTAAATCGAATTGTACAAATCGAGAATTGGCAGATCCATAATTATATAAATACGAACGTATGTGCATAACTATTATTAGATTCGTCTTAAGGATTGGTATCTTTTTGTACATATACAAACGTGACACGACAAAAAATGTATGAAAAATAATGACAAACAAAACAACGCGCCCACTGTTTAAATAAAAAGTTACAAGTTTTTGAAATTACATAAAGCGTCAATCTTAAATTAATCTGTTTTGGGTGGGATCTAGTAAATGTCTCTATAGTTTCGCATTTACATTTCAATTGGTTTTAGTTTATTTAATAAACTAGCGTTACGGATCCGTCCTCCAAAGTGAAGTCTAAAATCAAGTAGAAACACTTTTCCCGATGCCTTATTTTTCCACCTGTAGCAATTCAGCCCGTATGTGCGGCATCGCAGAGTATTTTAGCTATGAAAGGTCCATATTTAAAAACGAAAAAATGTCAATTAAAAAGTGATCGTGACCCGTGTGGAAAACCGAGTGATGCCACAACGTCGAACTGAACTTTCACTGCTTTTACCCAATTTCCGTTTTCCGACCTCGCTCCGGTGTCAAAGGTGGCGCCCCCACCGTTGGTTCCACGGAAACGTGAGTCGAGAGCGCTTCTCACGACCCGTAAATTCTTACTTATACTATGCCTTAAACTTATACAACTCTTATATTACATTTTATATAAAGCGTGGATCCCAACCAGTTTGGGATGAGTCTAAAAAGCTCTTCTTAAATGATGGCCAGGCAATAACTGTTAATTTTAAAACTAAATAACTTAGCAGAGGGTATGATTTCGGTCGTGAGGCTTGGGAGCGTTTCCTGCGCTTTTCTGAGGGAGTCCCAGTGTCGTGGCAGATGTGGGGGAGCGGGTCGCAACTTTTGGGGGGTCTCACGCTGGGGGTCGAATTCGGAAAGCTACGAAATTGGGGAAAAACTGGTAAAGGTCAGTTTGACGGTCTGGCAGAACGTGGGTAACACACGGGACGGGAAAGCTGGTCTATTCAATCACTTTCCACGGAAAACTGATCGCGGCGACCTGCCCCCCACCCCCGGCTCGACAGCACTTTTTTCTCGCGGAAAATGCGGCACACAGATTTCAGGTCCAGGCAGTGTGACCACCTTTGTGTTTAACGCAAATTTAGGTGCTTTCTGGCCACTTTCGCGAGGCGTTACTTTCTGCGTTTTCTCCAAGGTCATACAGTCTTGGCGCCGTCGTTCAAAGTTCTTAAGTTACCAAACTTGTGTTTTTTACATAATGGACCCATTATGTCAAAGGTATTGCATAACAATTTAAATTTGTATGTCTAACAAAATAATCACCTACTCCATTAGAATTTTCGGCTATGTATAGCTTTAGAATTGGGGTACGTTTACAGAAACTTGATTTTTGTTAGCTTTTGATTGATAAAAATAAGTTTGTTTGACTAGTAGGTGAAAATAGTCTTTGTTATAACAGGTGAAAGTAAAATAGTTATGGCTAGAAGTCGAAGTAAATATACATCTAAAGCTTTCGATATATTTACCGGAAACACGTGTTTGATCTAGCTATGCAAGATCGATAATGACAGCCACGATCAACTACGATCGCGCCAAATTCAAACCTAACTAGATATCATGAAAGCCATAATTAAAACTTTAGCCAACAGACGCAATCAAGATCGGGCTGCCTTTCCTTCTCGGCGGATAAAATGTATAATATTTTTCAGACTTAGAACAATATTTGATCGTTCGCAAAGTAAATACACTGATTACGGCTGAATTATACATGGGGCACATTTTGAGGCACTAATCTCAGCGGGCGACTGGCGGACAAGCGCTGTCATATGAATATGCCCGCGATCCAGATAATAAATAAATCCAAATGCACATCTTCAAGGGGCAGATAGTAAGTCCCCACGGACCCCGACTTAGTCAGTGTCAAGCGGTCAGGCAATCAAGTTGAGCTCTCTCTCCATCGCCATCGTCGGCCACTGCAGCCTAATTCAATTAAAATTAAAACGCAGATCTACGCGACCGAGTGAAATTGCCCCAAATTCCCGACAATTATAGGCCACGTTCGCCAGTAATCTCGCATCTGCGTAGGCAGCTATATCTGAATCTCGGCCATGCAATCGGACGCATCTCCCCTGGGAGCTGCTGCCACGGAATCCCTTCCCATGCACCGATCCACGTCCATGCCCGTGAAGCCCAAGCCGCTGGAGCAGAAGCCCCTGCTCCGATCCTCCGAGAAGGAGACGGTCAATGCGGCGGACTACTATCCAGAAAGTCCGGGTTTCGTGAGGCGCAGGAAGTCCAAGAATGCCGGGGATCACCTGGAAACACGCAGCGAGCAGAAGTGAGTGTAGTCCTAAATAAGGATTGTCAACATTTCTAAGAAGAAAACGGATCATTTCTGGATTATTAACTATTTCACGAAATGTCTTTAAATATTTTTTGTTTGCTTTGCGCTTTTTAATAAAAAAACAACTAATAAGATACAACAACTCATATTTTGTAAAAGACTGCATTAACAGATTTTCTGTCCGAAATATGTAAAGGTCTTTCTTAAGTTAATTAATTAATATACCTCTTTAGTTAATTTTCGTTTTTTGCTTTTGACTATAAATTGCTTAGCTTAAAATGTTTGTAATAAAAAAAAACAACAAATAATTGTATATAGTCCGTGAAACAATAATATTTAACCACTTGTTAAAAGCAGCTCAAATATTAGTAAATACCAAAATTGCATTACGAACTTTTTGATTTTGATAATATTAATTCCTTTTAAGAAAATCAGTAGTTACATACATTTATAAATAATATAAATTAAACCTACTCTTCTAGCTTCCCCTACTCTCACGACTGGGCCGGCAGTACAATAGAGCTAACACCAGATGTGGGTTCCGGACCCGGAATGTCTTCATCCGATGGACTGAGACGAAGTCTGCATCGCGTAATGGAGAAGAACGGCAAGGAGAACGTTGTGTTCCGGCGAATTCCAGAGAAGTCCTGGCGCTACATGCGGGATCTAGTCACCACGCTGGTAAGATCCTGGTTTGGCCACAAGAAAACGGCATCGTCTCAAGCCGATCCATCGCGATCGGATGTGTATAGCATAACGCCCAGCATTCAGCGCAGACTTGATGAATTGGCCAATGAGCCACCGCACCTGAGTCCCCATCTTTCGAAGTCTAGTACCAACCAGAGCGAACGCGTCACGTTTAGTATATAGTTTTTAATACATTAATCCAACCATGACCCACTGAAATACTCATACATATTAATAAATACGTAATTAACCAACCGCATAAACACCTGCATTGCTAAACTGGGGATTCTCGGGAAGTTATTCCATAAGGACAATCTACTTTTCCCACTTTGGTTTTCTGTAATCTTCTTTAAAATTTTGAATACTGTAAGTGTCGTAGTTTATTTTTCTTTAAATGTGTCCTATGTGAATCGCTAATCTATACCATTGTAAACCTGTTGACGTTAACATGAGTCTCGGGTGTTTGCCTTTCCTGTGTACGTTTGGTAATGCACTAAGGCTTTTTTTTTCGAATCGCACAGATGGAGCTGGAGTGGAAATATATGCTGACTCTGTTCCTGGGAAGTTACTTCCTCAGCTGGCTGCTCTTCGCCGCCCTCTGCTACGTGGTGGCCTACTCCCACGGGGACTTCATCTTTGACCCAGTGAGTGGAGAACGGATGGGCGAGGGCGAAGATCCTTGCATCTTCGGGGTGGGCAACTGGGTGGCCATGCTCATATACTCGGTGGAGACGCAGACGACCCTTGGATTCGGGGAGAAGTACGCCAGTGAGGAGTGCCCAGAGACCATTTTTCTGTTCGTCATGCAGATGATGAGTGCGGCATTGATCGAAGGCTGTATGGTGAGCGTGATTTATGCCAAGACAGCCCGTCCGGCCCGGCAGCTGACCAAGCTCAAGTTCAGCGATAAGGCGGTGGTGAGTAGATTCCCTCGATGGGGAGGAGCACATCCGATTAAACCCTTCATCTAGCGATTATCTCACTCAGATCTGTTATCGTGACGGGCAGCTGTGTTTGCTCTTTCGCGTGTGCGATCCCCGCGAGCAGCAGTCCATTGAGTCCAAAATACGCGTCTACATAATCGTGGATAAGCGGTGAGTCACTGTCGCATTTTCGGGAAATGTCTTGATCTCAAAGGTTATCTAGAGCTTTTGTAAATAACTTAAATGTCTTTGCACAACCTCGCAAAGATTTTAAATCACTAACCCGGAATAGAAAGCTATTTAATTTATTCCTTAATTAGAAAGATTAAACCATTGAATTTCTATAATACAAAAAACAATAATATTGATAGTACTTCCTAATCACCTTTTTAAGAATATTAAGACAACTAAAATATTGTCTCTCGAGCTCCAGTTATTAGAAAAATCTAATTTAACTTGACCTACCAGTTAGATAAGAGTTGCAACTAGATAAGACTTGCAACTAATAGGTTTTCTCATCTTATCTATTCCGCTGACAGCACGCGAGAGGGTGAGATCATTAAAACTCACGTGGAACTGAAGCTGGAAGGAAATGGGGAGCAGATTATTCTCTGGCCCGATGTGGTGTGCCATGTCATTGATGAGTCCAGTCCACTGTTCCAGTTCACCAATGCCAAGCTCTTCAATGCAGCCCAATTCGAGCTTTATGTGTCTATTGTTGGAACATCCCCGGCCACAGCCCAAATGACAGAAGCCAAGACGTCCTATCTTCCAAGGGAGATTTTCTGGGGCCAGCGGTTCGTCAACATTATTATTTACGATGCTCAAAACGAGCGCTACATCGTGGACTATGAGAACTTTAATAGGACCATTTCAGTGGACATGCCCATGGTGCAGCCGACCAGTGATAATTTGAAGCTGGAATACAGAAAGTGAACTTGAAAATTATTAAATACTATCTATTAAAAGACCGCTAGTTTCCTAGCATACCGTGTAACCTATTTGGCAATATTTTAATTGAATTCCTTAAACATCGAATTTAACAGTATATTAAAGACCGAATTAAAGAATTACAAGGACATAGTTTTCATATTTTCAGAGCTAACTGCAAGATTATGTTTTAGTATTTTAATGTAAGCCTAGGTGCAGATCTATATTTTGCGATGATTTTATATATTTGATGAACCTCTCATCTATAAAAGTAATTCTTCTTCTGCACCAGATTAACACATCAACTTCAGCTTCTAAATTAATTAAATAAACGCATTGCGTTTTTTAAAGAACGATTTTCGGAACTCACAAATGTATTATAAAACTAACTAACAATATTTTAATAAATTATGGACATATTAAAAATGTTTTTGAAATTGTGAATATGTCCCAAAAGAACGCATTTCATTCTCCGCAGGATTCGGTTTGCTCCTGCTCCTGATAAAATCTAACTTGGGCCCTCAGTGTTTCGTTCTCATGTTGCAGACGCGAAAACTCGCGCATAAAGCTATCTCCTTGAAGAAGTAAGGCGAGAGCATCTCGGATCTCCACTGTGTGCTCCAAAAACTGTATCGTGTATTTGTTTATCTGAGATGATATCTGCTTCCGGTTGTACTGGCCAATATACTCCAGTTCCCGCTCCACCTCTCCACAGCGCTGGTCGACAAATTCCTTCAGATCGCTGAACTCTTTCCGCCAATCAGCATCCGTTTGGCCGGATAGTCCGGATGACTTGTCCAGCAACTGCTGCGGCTTCAGCTGCAACTGGGATGTGACGTTGGCATGATGCGGGGTACTATTCCGACTGGCCGAAAGCAAACGCAGCCGGCGCTTTTGCTCGGCGTCCACCGGCGGGGGATTCTCCTTGTCACTGCCTGTGCTGCTGGCCACGGAAATGTTGGCCGATTGTTCTTCGCTGTGCTCATCTTTCTCTGCGATCTTCATTAACTTTCCCTCGCCGGAGACGTTGCTCCGATCTTTAAGGGGGCCGCTCAAGGTTTCTTCGGAGGAACAAACAAGTTATTATTAGTTTAAACTCGAAAGTATTCAGTGTTTTCCACTTACGTTGCAGTGACTCCCCACAAGAGCTGTTGCAGGAGTTGTTCACCAAGCTAGGTCCAGATCCCCCTAGAGGGCAAAGGCTCTGGCGCTGGACAGCCTCATTTGAAATGGGCTTTCTGTTGAGGGTCTCCCAGTCGAAGCTGTCCCTATAGGAGCTGCCTAAACGTGTGGACATGCGATCTACCGCCCTCGGTCCTTGGGCATCCAAAAAGTCACAGAAGGAATCCCGGCGAACAGTAGCAGGCGTCGCACTACCTAAACCCAAACTTGAAACACCAAGACTCAGCTGTTGCAAGTTAGCCGCAATGGATTTTCGCAGCTCATCGCTAGGAGGACGCTCAGCTCGAGGAACTTCGATTCCCAATCCAGTTGAATTTTCCGAACTATTAAGGCTGCCGTTCTGCGGGTTATCTCCGCTTGGCGTGGGCACAAAAGCCACCCTGGTCACAGCCGCATCGTGAACACTCCTTATAGCCAAAGGTGCCTTCGTGCTTCGCATATCGTATGCGATCAGTTCACCCTTAAGGTTTCCGGCACAAAGGTAAGTGCCGCATTCACTCAACGCCACCGTGGACAACGGATGGGAGTAGGTCAACCGATCCGTGGAGGCCTGAGCCCTATTCCGTCGGATATCGAAGATGTTTATCTTGCAATCGTAGCCCACGCTGACCAGCAGCGCGGGCTGAGATGCACACATGCTGATGTCCCTACAGGGAGCACTGTGCGCCTCGCTGGCGTGGAAGATCTTTCGCATGCCTTGCACATCGTACACAGTCACTGCACCTTTGTAGGAGGCGATCGAGAGGTGGAATCGCTTGCTCGGATGAAAGCGTACCAGAGTGGAGCTGAAATAAGTAAATAAATAATAGTTATATTGCTAGCAATTTTATAAAAAACTTAATGTTTTCTTTGAGTTATTTGCTAATTTTAATTAAAACACTACGAGTTGTATTGCATTGTTTTAGGGGCTAATTTCGTATAAAAATGCCATTATTCATACTCATGTATTTGAGAATCAGGGAAGACAAGTAATCAGTATTAAATGTTTAATTTGTGTGATCAAAAAGGGAATCTACTTATTAAATTTATTAAATGCCACTTTGACTTAAAGAAACCCTTAGATTAAGAAAATTGACTAGTTCGATTATAACTTATCTTAAATTTGCAAAAGTTTTTCTGAATGGAGTTTTTATGTTTTTGAAAGACTAGAAATTATAAGTAATCTATCAAATTTATCTGGGTATTAGCTTCATTAACTTACTCGCCATCGATGGTGAAGGTGTTGGTCTTCTGCTTGGTCTTGGTGCCCAGGATACTAATGTCTCCGCCTTCGCGCACGGCGGCTATATACTCATCCGTATTGTTGTAGTCCATGTAGAGGACAGTGCTCCTCTGCGGATCAGCCGGAAACCGGTGGATCAGTTGCGCCGTCCGGAAGTTGTAGAGCTTGACACATCCACTCTGTCCCACGGCGATCTCCTCCAGCGATTGCTTGGCACATGCCACACAGTAGGCATTATCGATGGTCAGTTTGCGGACACGCTGGATCTCGGGAGCTGGTTAATGGAGAATAGTAAGTTGTAAGGGAATTTGCATCCTAACCTATTTCTTACCCTTTGCCTCCTTCTCCTTTATCCGCATCACCACCAAGCCCGCCATTTTATCCACCTCGACAAAGACCCGCCGCTGGCCATTGAACTGGAAGTCCGTCGGCTCTTCACTTTTGTGCAAATACTCAGACTTTGTCTCCAGATCCGCAAAGTCGGAAAGCACGGTCTTTTTTGAGGTGGAAATCACATACATTTTGATTTATTTCTGTTGATTTGGACAAGATTCAAATTTGAGTGATGTTGCTGGCGGAGATTGACTGGGAAGTGTGCCCGCCGCGTTTTTACCTTAATTTACCAAAGCGCAATTGGGATTTTTCGAGCCTTTTCCACAGCTTTGCTCTACACATTTTAAGACCGTTAATTAGTTTATTATTTTTTTAACTTAGCTTTTACTATAACTTCTTGAATATGAACGAAATACATTTTTTATTGTTTTACTGATCATGTGGATTCCTCAAACATTTAATATTAATTTTTCTACCCTTGCTCTCCATTCAGATTCCAGCAATGACATAACTTTCAATATCAGCAATGATTTTTTTCTATATTCTATATCAAAAGTTGAAAATAACATAGAATTCCAATAAGGTGAAGAGAAATTATATGTGCGCACTTAGCTGCGGCAAACGCTGCAGGAAGCAGTGAGAACGTATCGGTAAGTTTGGTCACACTTGTCATTCACAACCAAATTCATCGGATCATTGGCAGATAGGCAAGAAGAAGAACAAGCAATCACCTGCGAAAAAGAAATAAATTGCCGAGAAATGTTAAAGACCTTGTAGTGCGGCTGTTTGGCGTGCGTTGAAATGATTCCTGGCGACCAGTAGAAGCATTTAGTGACCACGCAACTCATCCCCCATCCCCCGCTGCAAAGGTTAAGCAACTGGACAAAGGCCATCTACAACAACAACACCACAGAGGCAGCCACAGCCATTTGGCACCCACACTCAAACACAACACACACATACACTGCGTAGAAGACAACAACAACTGGGAATCGGAGGCCTTCAACTGCTGGAAAAATGGAAGCGGACGGATTAACCAACGAACAGACGGAAAAGGTCCTACAGTTCCAGGACCTTACCGGCATCGAGGACATGAACGTGTGCCGCGACGTCCTAATCAGACATCAATGGGATCTCGAGGTACGCAAGCAAACATATGCAAACACAGTCGCGATCGGAATAATAGGAACACAGACTGCTTCCAACTTACAGTGCTTACATGAAATTGTCGGTTCAAATTTTTGCATTCACGAAATGAGTAAAACTTTAACTAATTTGCTTAGAGTCGCAAGTGTGTGTTCAATTAACCCTATTGCCGTCTTAAAAATCAAAAATCAGGTCCTTATTCATTAACCCGCCTTTTTTCTTTGTAGGTTGCCTTCCAGGAGCAGCTAAATATTCGCGAGGGTCGCCCCACCATGTTCGCCGCCTCCACGGACGTACGAGCACCCGCTGTGATCAACGACCGCTTCCTGCAGCAGGTGTTCTCCGCCAACATGCCTGGCGGACGGACAGTGAGCCGGGTACCTAGTGGCCCCATACCCCGCAACTTCACCGGTATCCTTGGCTACGTGATTAACTTCGTGTTCCAGTACTTCTACTCAACGCTGACGAGCATCGTGAGTGCGTTTGTGAACCTGGGCGGTGGAAACGAGCCGCGTTTGGTGACAGATCCGCTCGGCGACGTGATGAAGTTCATTAGGGAGTACTATGAGAGGTACCCCGAGCACCCAGTCTTCTATCAGGGCACCTATGCCCAAGCCCTGAACGATGCCAAGCAGGAGCTGCGCTTCCTGATCGTTTATCTGCACAAGGATCCCGCCAAGAACCCCGATGTTGACTCTTTCTGCCGCAATACACTCTCGTCAAGATCGGTTATTGACTACATTAACACTCACACCCTGCTGTGGGGCTGCGACGTGACCACACCGGAGGGCTATCGGGTGATGCAGTCGATCACGGTGCGAAGCTACCCGCTGATGGTGATGATCAGCCTTCGGGCGAATCGCATGATGATCGTTGGACGCTTTGAGGGGGATTGTACGCCCGAGGAGCTTCTGCGCCGCCTCCAGTCGGTGACGGCTGCCAATGAGGTGTGGCTAAGTCAGGCGCGTGCAGATCGTTTGGAGCGTAATTTTACACAGACTTTAAGGCGACAGCAGGACGAGGCTTACGAGCAAAGTTTGCTTGCGGACGAGGAGAAGGAACGCCAGCGGCAAAGGGAGCGAGATGCGGTGCGGCAGGCGGAAGAGGCTGTGGAGCGGGCCCGACGCGATGTGGAGCTCCGCAAGGAGGAGGTTGCCCGTCAAAAGATCGAACTGGCCACTTTAGTGCCATCAGAACCGGCAGTGGATGCAGTCGGCGCCATCGCCGTCGTCTTCAAGCTGCCCAGTGGAACACGACTCGAGCGGCGCTTCAACCAGACGGATTCGGTGCTGGTAAGCCCAAAACAAATATGATTGCTCATCAGGGAGTTAAGCAAATAGAATTGCTAAATATCGGCTTGTTCATGTTTACTACTGCAGATTTGTATTACTTTACTGAATTGTTCAGGGGGCTTTAGCTTGAGTAGTTTTCAGAATTATAGACAGAATTAATTACCCAAAACGAGAACAAAAAATAATTCGCTCTATTTAATTTATTTTTTCCAATAATTTTATGACCAAAAAAGACCAGCAAACATCCTAACAAACTTTGGATTTCTATTCTCTTTTAGGACGTTTATCACTATCTCTTCTGCCATCCTGCTTCGCCGGACCAGTTTGAGATCACAACGAATTTCCCGAAGCGGGTGCTCTACTCGAAGGCGGACGTAGATGCCGCCGAAGGAGCAGGCGCAGCCAACGAGACGCTGAACAAGAGTCTCCAGGACGTGGGCCTCAAGAACCGCGAAGTGCTGTTCGTAAACGATCTGGAAGCGTAACCAAGCACCACCTACCAAATGATAGCATCATCGTGTTACCAGCTGCAACGCATTACCAAAACTTGAACCAAGTTTTAAGTAGTCGTAGTCAACGTCCAAGTCGGAGGATAGACAGAAAAACTATTCCTAATTTAATCATGAATATTAATATAAATAATTGTTTAACAATGCTTAGGTTGATTCTCTTGTAATCTACGCACCACCACCCACCCGTTCCTCCCGCAAACATTCACACATAAGTAAAAGTCTTTTCCAGAATAATTTCCGTAAATCACATGTTTAATTTCTTTTTACTTAAGGATTTTTGTTATGTTAGCTGTACTTATACTTCCGTCTATTTAATCAAAATAGAGCCAGAGTCTTGTTATTTGACAAAGAGTTTGAGTTTAATCTGAATGTGGTCGAATTGAATAAATCAAAGTTATAAATAATCATGTTTAAGTGACGGGCATTCAAATAAACACAGGACAGTTAATCATTACAATTGGTTTAAATAGAAATTGATAAACTATTGTTGTATTCATTGTTTTGGATTTGTTACACAGAAATAATGAAAGTTTATATGGTTTATAATTACTAAATTAGAAGTTAAGATTTTTGAGGATTATTACGAGTTTAAAGATCGTTTATATTTGCACGTAAGTAAATTTATATTACTTAAAAGGAATGATTTAAATAATTTTATTGTGAATCATATTTTATTTTAAATTATCGTTACTAGAAAAGATTTGAATAATTGTGTGGCAACGTCATGACTTAAATTTATCGATATCCAGTGATGTGCTCTTCCATTGATTAATCACGACTCACGCACATGAATATAATTGTATATATATAAAATAAGTAAATTAGACAAATAGAATATTTTAGTTTTGCGTCAAAATTCTATACATATTTGATTGAAAAAAAGTATATAAATTAGATATACAAATATATGTACTAATTTACACCAATCGGGCCAGAATTCACGCTCCCATCTCCATCACCCACTCATTTGTTAGTCAGCGAATTGTCACGACCGAGTCGTGTGAAAATCTAAGTATTACGCTGGAATATCTGCGACCGGAGAAAAACAGTGACGAAGAGGACAACTACGACTGGTTTACCGCCGACGAGAGAACACGTCTGCTCCCCGGAAAGAGTGGAAATACTAGTTTGCTGCCGAAGATTCGGCAGTTGACTTCTAATTTGCTTAACGTCGAGGAGGTTCGCAACATTGCCCGCGGGCTACGTCAACCGAATTACCAGAAGCTGTGCCAGCAGGACAAGGACCACCAGAACATCCGAAAAAGTCAAAGGACCATGTCGACACCATCTACTTCCTCCGTTGGCGATGCTGCGGCCGCCCTCTCCGGCAATCTTCAATTGCCGCCACTCCGCACCCTTGATGACTTCATCCTCGGATCGGCCCGATTCCAGTTGCCCAATCTCAAGGATTTTAAGAAGTGGGGAAATCGGGTGGCGAATAATCTGCTCTACTACCAAACCAACTACTTTCTGCTCTTCCTTACCATCTACGCTTTGATGATTTTCTTCAATCCCTCAAAGATCATCAGTGGTCTGCTGGTTCAGGCTTTGATTATAGCCGTGATCTGGCAGTTCTTCAGTGGCAAGTCGAAGAACAACTTCATCGCCAGCCGTCTGACCGGAGGAAATGCCAATGCAGCGGAGCAGAATGCCCAGCAGAAGTGGTACATCATGGCAGGAGCTTTGCTCGGAGGATATCTCTTGCTGCATCTGATGAGCGCTGTGCTCTTGACGGCCTTCACCCTGCTGCTCCCCATCTCGGTGACCTTTATCCACGCCTCCCTGCGATTGCGGAACATGAAGAACAAGTTTACCAACACCATTGAAAGCTTTGGTCCCGCCACGCCCATGGGATCCCTATTGGATGCCGTCAATGTGCGCGCCGATGGGGTGCTCAATTAAGTCCAGCCATACTTATTTGGACACGTTTGTCTCAATTGGAGTTCACGTTTTTATCGCTAGATATCCTTGTCAATGTTGATCTTTGCAAAACGAAATCCCTGTATTATAATTATCATTTTGATCTTTATTTTTGTATTATGTATAATTGTATTACCAATATATTACAAATGTCAATAAAGTTTTTTCCAGGAAAAAGTGCTTGATTGGAAAAGGTAGGGCAAAAAATCTTATCTATAACTGGCAATTGTTGAACTTTTTTTATTCTGATATGGAGAAAAAAATTTCTACTTTAAAAAGCCCAGTGAAATGTTTTCATAAACTTATTTTTTAGTCAACTGGGTAACTGACTTATCAACAATTGAATTATTCATTATGAAATTTCCCTTAAATTAAAACGAATGAACGCAGTTAATCATAGCTTAAACGTACTTACCCAATTGATATGAAAACTATCAAACTGCTGCCTCAAGAAAATACAAATCATTGAATCAAAAGTTTTAACCTTTTAATAGTTAATCAACATAATTATTAAAGATTTCTTGATAGGCATGCTTGCGCTAATTTGCCATTATCTGATCACATTAAAAATAGTATTGGCTTTTGATTTCGATTTAAAGTGTTCTCCTTGTTTCTCTCATCTCTTAAGTGGCTAGGGATTCTAATTGTTCAGGGGATGAAGAGCTGGAGCATTAGAAGCAGCAATTTCGGCGGCAGTGGGAGCATCTTCATTCTTTCCGCCCGTCTGTGATAAATGCTTGACGAGGTCCACCCAATCCCAGCCGCGTTCCCGATCTCCTTTGTGATCGGTTCGTTCCCACTGACGGCGCTTCTGCGCCTTGGTCAGCTGCTCCTTCTTGGGCTCCTTTTTCCTTGCATCTGCATCGGCATTGGGATCGGAGATCTTCAGGGCGCTCACACCATCATCCACGGCTACTACGGTGGGTGCGGATTCGGGCTGGGCTGCGGTTAATTGCTCTAGGTTGTCTTTAAGGCATTCGAACAAGGTGTAGGTCATTCCACAGCCCAGCCATTGAGCGGCTTCCGTACTCAAAGCTGATTGGATCTCCTCTTTGACAGCGGGTAGCCTGTAAAGTAACATTAGTCATTCCTTAGATTCAAGATTTCAACGCCAGCAAGGCTATAATTTCTAAGGGATATGATATGATGTACACACTTTTGAAGTATATTAAGGATGTTGGAATTTGCACTTTTGGCACTTTTGATTTAAATTATTTCTTTAAGAAACCAATGTGATTATCAGGAATAAGATTACATTTTAATTACAGACGTTCAATCTTCAGCCGGATTATATGGGCTTTTCTGAGAGTCCCAATCCACTTACAGATTCCTATTATAAAACGTATTCATATTGATCGTTGGCGCCTCATCCGGATAGTTCTCTCCCCATTTCAGCTCCACCAGGAACGACTTGTAGTTGTCCTCTTCGCCATACTGCGTTTAATTTATAAATATTTAAGACTTAGATATTTTTGGGTCATATTTTTATCCATGTGGCTTACTTTGTATTGAAATGTGACACTATCTGTTTCCTTAAAGTTTGTATCGCCCTCATAAATCGACTGCAAGGCCTCCCGTTCATCTGTTTGTTGTTCCAGTGGCGTGGACATGGTGAATTGTGCTATTGCTTATCAATGTTGTTAAAGGTATTTATCATTTTTTATTGAAATAACACAAAATCAAAAATTATGGTTTTGCAACAAAAACAAAAGCAACAGCACAATCAGCTGGGCACCGGTGGCAGTGTGTCCACAGTTTGTAATGCCGACCTATGTTCTGTTTCCACTTTTTAACTCGGCTTCCACTAATAATTGTAAACAAACATCTAAGAGTTATATTTTAAAAAATTAAACTATTTTTATACTGTTAAACTATTTAATTGTAGTTTCTAAAACTTTTTATATTAACAATTATAACAAATAATGTAGATAATTTAATTATTTATAACTTCGAAAATATTTTTATAACGCCGACTTAACACGATTTACTTATTTGAATACATTGTCAGTGGGAACACCCTAAGGGCTCCTCGATAGGTATAGTGAAGTCATCCACTGTTATCGAACCAGTACAGTTCAGTTCCCAGAACAACATAAAAGAACGCAAACAATAACAACATAAAAACACATAAAATGCCAAGTGCGCGGGTGAATCATCGTTGAGCAACAATTGTAATTAATTAACACATGATTGCGCGACGTCATTAACAAAAACAAGTGGGGCAGACGCGAATCGCGCAAACTATGTCGGCAGATGCAGATGCGATTCCCGCTGTGGAATGTGCGCATCTGGTGGATTTCAAGAGATTTCTGGCCAGTACGGCGGAAAAGGCGGCGGCAGCGGTGAGCGAGGAGGTTGCCAGCCGGAATTGTGTAACCCGGACGACTAGTGACACATACAAAGTGTCCAGTGACGAGCGACATGCGGAGTTGGTCTCGGCCATTTGGCATCAGTTGGGTTCTCGGGGATGTCCTGAGCACTTCCGGCTGAAGCTACTCCACCGGTCCACGCAGCAGCTGGAGCAGGATCTGTGCTTCGCTAAGGAGTGCGAGGTCACCGTGGAGGGTCCTCCACAGTACGATCTCCTTAAGCTTCAGAAGTTCGTCGCCAGTGAGTTGGAGAAGTTCCTCCTGAAACTTACTGATAACTCGGAGGTGGATCGCCTTAAGGACTTTGCTGATGACACAGAGTCGGGGAACCGCGAGTGCCGCCAGGAGAAGGAGCCCCTCCACACGTCCGCTGCTGTGAAGAACAAACCCAGGAAGATGGAGGATCGATGTGTTTGCCTGGAAAGATTTGGGGAGATGTACGGTCTGCCGGAGAGGAACACACGCTTCTTTGGTGTCTTCGATGGCCACTCTGGATCCTTATCCGCAAGCTATGCCACCAGTCAACTTCCCCAACTGTTGGCCGACCAGCTCAAGACGAATCCAAACCCTTCTGACACCTCCCCCGACTTTTATCGCAACGCCTTTGAGTCAGCCTTTCTGCTTGCAGACGAGCGTTTCACCCAGAAGAAGATTACCAGCGGCACAACCAGCGTATGTGCCTTGATCACAAAGCATCAACTGTATATAGCCTGGGTGGGTGATTCCAAGGCTCTTTTAGTGGGCAAACGAACGCAATTGCAGTTGGTTAAACCGCACAAGCCAGAAAATCCAGATGAGCGCAAGAGAATAGAAACAGCCGGTGGCACTGTGCTCCACGCTCAGGGTCAATGGCGTGTAAATGGCATTCTGAACGTGGCCCGTTCCATTGGCGACTATAGTTTGGAAGCAGTGATCGCGGAGCCGGATTTCGTAGATGTGCAGCTAAATGAGGCTCACGATTTTCTGGTACTCGGCACCGATGGCCTGTGGGATCACGTTCCAGAGTCATTTGTCATCGAAACCGTTTACGAGTCCCTGGCGGATCCCACCATGAAGTTGGACGACATTCCCAAACTACTAATAGAGGCTGCCAAGGAGCGGGATTCGCAGGACAACATAACAGCGGTGGTGGTCCTGCTCAAACCTCGTAACCAAATCGAAAATCTTTAGAAGTTTGAGTCTGTGGCATTGAAAATCGAAGCAGCGAATTTTTTTATTGTTACCCGCATGGGTTGGGTTAATTTGTACAAATTTAAAACATCTTAAGAGACGTAGCGAAAAGTAATCTTGAAACATCTCCTTTAACATGGGACAATATAAGAATCATATCAATTTTCATATATCCAAAAGAGAAACGTGCCAAATATCTTTAAATAAATCATGAATAAAATATTAGTTTGATATTGACATACATATTGTACGAGAAAAAACAAAATAATTAATTTTCTAACCGATGTTTATCGCAAAACAACGAATATTTGGTATGACTAAAGGAAATATACATATTCCTTGCTTGATTCAAAAAAATTAATTTACCCAAAGATTACTTTCCGACCCTACAATTATTAATCAACGAAAGTTAACCCAAACCAGCCCGCATTGTTATTTCGTTTACTGTATTGTTGTAATGTAAATAGCTTGGAGCGAATCATTGTGCTCCTCCCTTTATTGTCACATTCTCACGTGCCTACCGTGGTCCTGGAACTGGATGCTCCCACTCCCGGTCCACTTGTTTGGTTGCTCGAATAAGCTCAATCAAAATATTTTGTGGTTGCTCAGCAGTTGAGAAGATTTAAGGAAGTTTTAATCAAGTCCTGGCTTAAGGCAACTGTTGTTAACCCGTATATATATACAAAAGTGCACTCGTACGCACAGAAACAAGTTTAAATATATTTTAGATTAGCATGCAAGCGTATATTTATACACACTGAAGTTGTTTTCGGCCGCTTAGTGCTTCCAGCTGTATGATAATAAGCAAAGCCAAGTACACATATATTGTAGACCTAGTTATATACGTACATATTTACACCTGTAAACCATATTTAATGATCCCACACAGATTAAGTACCTTTTTATACAAATCTAATGAACCTTTCATGCATTTTACCGAACAACCCAAAACACACATTTTTAACGATACACACGCAAATTGATTAAGGAAATTTTTTATTGGAATAATAAAAATAATTCACAGTAGTTTCTCGCTTATCTCTAGCTTTGAGGCGGTTGTCCCTGATGTGGATTGTTGTTTGGAGGAGGTGGAGCGAAGGGTGGCGGTGGCGGGTACATGTGGGGGTACATTGGAGGCATGGCGTAGGGCATCCCATAACCGTAATTGGGCACTGGGAAGGGCATACCAGGCTGCTGTGGCGGCATGTTGAAGTTAGTCGCTGCCTGATGGTAGTTCTGGTAGTAGTTGGAGTGCCAGCTTCCCGGGTTATAGCTTGGATGGTAGTTGTACTGCTGATCTCGGGGTTGGCTTTGATTGTCCTGCGAATTAGAGAATCTCTGGCTCTGCCTGAAGCTCTCCCGCTGCCCGCGTCGTCCACGCTGGCGGGGAGGAGGAGCCACTGAAGATACCTCTGTTGCTGTTGTTGCCACGGAGGTTACTGTATCCACAGAGTCTGTGGAGTTGGTACGATCCCTTTGGCGGCGCTTTCGTCGCTCATTTTTGGCTTCTCTTTCCTCGTCGTCATCGGAGTGGTCTACGTAGCGCGCAGGTGGTTCCACATCGTGCTCCCATGAAGCATCCGATCCTCGAACTTGCATCAACTTCGACAGAATTACAAACTGGGTGTGCTCGGTTTTTGGAGCACAGTACACCACATCGCCAATTTTGATGCCTCTGTCCAGGATTTGTTGGTTAGTGTTGAAACGAACGCAATATATTGGGTCTGACACCTGACCTAGCACATCAAACACCTCGCCCAGGACCTTGCGACCCTTCTCCAAGAACAAAACAGTATCCAGATCGAACAGCATGGAATTCGGCAGGACGGAAACCAAAACGAGCTGATCTACAATGGATTGAACCTTGCCCAGTTCAACGCATTCATCCTCGGGAACAGTGATCTCTAGTTGATGAATGGGTGGCAGCTCATCGAGAAGCATTTCTCCCCGCACCTTTGGCGGCTGGCGTCGGCGGGACCGATCCCCCGTAGCCCCATCCTCATCCAAATCCTCGTCATCCTCATCGCATTCCACGGTATTGATCCGCTTGTCTATCTTTTTGCGAAGTACAGTGAGGTATTCTCCCTCGGAATCAGAGTCACTGCTACTACTGCTTTCCGAGCTTTCGCCACCTGAGCTCACAGCCACCACTGGACGATAGGCGGTGGAGGAAGCGGTTTCCGTCACCGGAACTTCCACAACTTCGTTGTCGCTGTCCTGAGTTGGGGTAACTTCCTCCACATCAGAATTATCAGCATCGGAGGTGTAGGCTGCCAATAAACTAAGTCCACTTGGTCGAGGAGCTGGGTTAGCCTCTGGAGCGGGTTGTACTTGAGGAATTGGTTTCTCGGGTGCTGACTTGTTTGGAGCGACTAAAGGAACTTTCTGTGAATCTGTTTCCGCCACTGGGGACAACTCGCAGTCCATTTCTAGAGGAGATTCCTGTGCGGTATTTTTCTTCTCCGCTACAGCTTGTGATATCTCACATTCCATCTCTGCGGCAGCAATTTCAACTGATTCAGAAACTATTTTTTGACCTGTAATTTGGGCGTTGACAGTTGTTGACTCATTGACTGACTTATCCTCCACTACCTGCTCCATTTCTGGTGGCGCTTCGACTGCATTTGGCGTTTCTGCATTAGAATTCACAGTTCTTTATTGTGTTTATCAAATAAAAAGCTCTTCAGCTTACCTGTGGGCTTTGTTTGCACCTTATCTGTTGATAAGTGTGCTACAGGAATATTATGTTTCCCCGATTCAGTGGGTGTTTCAACACTTTTTGGGTCTTCAATTGATGCCGAGGCTTTCACAGCCGTTGGCTGCTCACTTTCCATTATGTTTCAAATTTAATCTGGCAGAAAATAATGTTTGAAACAGCCGAACTCTATGAAAAACAAAACTGAACTAAGCAAACACACGTTGAATACACGCACGTGTTGTCTTCTTCTTCACAGAAGACCATGCACATGGTATGGTTTCGTGGTGAATGTCATAATATTCAAACTAAACCGCGGTTTAAAAATATTTAAAATTCTTATTTTTAACAAACAGGAATGTTTGTTAAATGTTTTTTTTTAACTTTGATGTGGATTATGAAATTTTAGGCCAAATAATTTCAAAATCCTAACACAATTTATAACCCCGACAGCTTTGCGTTTTCATAAAATTTATGTTTAGTTTATTCATTTGTTTCATTAAAATCATTTGCGTGGTGAGACGGTATGCACATAATTCATATATTGCATTAATTGGAGAGCATTATGGTTAAGCTAAAATGGACGCCAACTTATTCCTTAGATATTCGAAGCTAATAATTAACAAAATATTGCACGTTTATCGTAAAAGAAGCTTAAAACTTTGTACACTTTTTGCTCAGAATGCAATTGAAGCTGGTTTTTCCATAGTTCGTTGTGAGATGTTTCTTGATTATAATCTAAAAAGTACATTAGCTTTCGATATATCGAAAGCTTACATACAATAAGTCCTTACAAAATAGATTCTTGTGTTTCTTTTCGTTTTCCTTCTAGTCCTAGTAGCAGCTAGTAATTGAAATAATGTTTTCCGATAAATTCATGGGTAAAAGCAGGGGTAAAATATCTTATCAAATATCGGTTACAAACATTACTTTGTGCTAAGGCAGAGTTAGTTGGAAGATGTTCGAGTGCGAACGAGTTTCACAAAGCTAAATCTAGGTAAATATCAATAGCACTTAGTTAATATCAATGTTTTCGTTTCCGCTCTATGGTAGCCATGGTAGATATGTGAGAATGATAATGAAGTACGAATGAAATCAATTGTTCAGGTCAAAGCAAGCAAATCAGATTAAACTCTAGCATTGAAAGTCGGAATCCTTCTAAACCTTCCAGTCCAAACGGAACTCGTCCACGAGTAGCAAATGATGATGTATTAACCAACCTTTGCGTTTATGGGACATTTTATTAGTGGTATAGTGGATTTCTAATAAATTTCTCCTTACCTTCCTGCTGCGCCAGCGCCAGGAACTCCTGCCACTTGGTTTGTATGTCCCAGTACTTCTCCTTTATCTGATTCCTATCCTGCAGATAGGACACTGCAAAGAAGTACGCCTTGAGCACATCCTGCGGCCGCGTTTCGAAGTGCAGATATACGCCCAGGCATTTTTTGGTCTCCGCTATGATAAAATGCTCGTGCGGATCGAAGGAGGATACTATGTTTTCGATGACGCTGCTGCTCTTATACTCGTCAATCATATTTTTCACGCTCAGTCCGAGCTTTATGTTCAGGGACACTGAAACAGTCTTTCCAACTGTGACCCGCTCCATAGCGTTGACCTGTAAATAGTTCAATGTTCTAGGATTTAATTTTCTCAATTTATTCTTTGGGCCGGTGAATAAAGTTTTTTTGATTTGAATATATCAGCCAAAGATTAAGCTAATGGATTTGATTTTCAATTCATAAACGTTGTTCAAAAGTTGATCTAAACTCTCAACTAAAACCATAGGAACATACTGCTTACCTGTTGTGGACTGAGCATCCTTGATGACCGGAAGAACTCTTCCAGAGCAATCAAATAGCGTGACTCGTTGAAGGTCCGCAAGCAAACCGCGCGTACCGCCTTGAGATTGGCGTACAGATGCAGACTGACCACCACGTAGAATATGGTGTAAAGGACCGCCTGGCTCTTGATTAGCGTTAGAAGATATAGTCCCACAAAGGAGGCCACAAGATTCACGCAGGTTTCCTGCGAACTATCTTTAGATGCCACATCTGCTAGATTTCCCCGCAAAGCATGGTGCTGGGTCAACGCCGATCTTGTAGCTCCTCCAGCCACGCCCACAATCGCCTTAAGCATTGTGGAACAGCACAAGATTTGGGTGCTGAAATGCGGATACTTGGGAAGCACATAGATTTCGATGCCCATGGCCAGATCATTGAGAAAATCGGCTCGCAAACGCCATTTTTTGGAATCGACATCCAGTTGGGAACCTTGCCACCAGGCGAAAAGTATCCGGCCCACATGTCCGCTGCCCTCCTTCAAAATCCAGGTAACTGTGGCGGAATACGCATTGATGTTCTCACTGCCCAAGCCGATTCCCTTCAGGATGGCATGGGTGCACAGGGTGCCACAGATGGTGCTGCAAAAGGCCTGAGCCGTATCCCAGATCTGGTATGCCGCATAATCCTCGCTCACACTATCCGGATACCCCTTGGGCAGGAAGACCTTCTGGAGCACGCGGAAAAGCAGAAACTTCTCCTGGATGACCAGCTTATCGCCACGCAGTGGGACCCTCACGATGTTACTCTGATCTGGATTTTAAATTTGTGAAGGAGTTTATTAAACTGGGGTTATTACAAGCAGTCCTTACCAAAGCCTTGCAAAATTTATTATTATTTTAGCCACATATAAAAATGTCTTGAAGGTTTTTTCCCAAATTTATTACTTTTTGCTAAGATTTTACTCAGTTATTTTGAAAAGCAAATTGTTCAGATTTTTAAAATTCAATAAAATTAGTTTATTAAAAAAATGTGACCAAATAAAATGCAATAAAAATTGTCCAAAGTTTAAATCGGAACAAGTAGACTGATATAATATCACTACAAAAAAAATTATTAAATTCAACGTGGCAGATTATCATTTGATACGCTCATTGAAGATTATCTTTTTTGGGTTGGGAAACTTTGTTCTGAGGTCTATGGAAAAATAGACATTTGTATAGCTGCCATAGGAATAAGGACTTTGCAAGGCTTGTTTTGTTGGTTTGATCGATTCGCTCACCTGCTGGCGTCACATATAGGATTTCCTCACCCTTCCGTCCGTACTGTTCCCGAAAATGGATTTTCATCTCTTCTGTGCTTTTTTATCGTAGTTCTTTCAGGGAAATTAATTTTTATTGCCTTTCCGGCGCTGGCTAGCCTTTTCCCTCAAAGTTGCTTTAGGGGAGCTCGACCTCCAGCAGCAAAACACCACCCACCTGGCACCCACAGCTTTTTATTTATGTCCGTCGGGGTGTCTGTGTTTTTCAAACGAGAAAAGGTGAATTATCGGCTACCGAAACAAAACACGAAACAATCGGGGTACGCGGCGTAGCGAAGCGAACTCTAGAACATTTTACAAAGAAGCTAATGGGCCGCTGCTTCAATTAAATACTAGCAACTAATTGTAGTTCAAAATAAATATACCCCAAAAAGAATTTCTCCCCACGCCAATGATTTTCCGCACCCCCTCCCCTTTGTGTTATCAGTCAGCTGTGCTTGGTCACGTTTCGCTGTGAGTGCCGCCAGCCAAAATGTATTTTTATCACCCCGTGTAACGTTCACACTATTGATTTCATTTTTCATAACGGTTTTTATTGCTTATTGTTTGTGGAGAAATATTCTTCCCTTACGAATAGAAATTGACTTTCCATGCACAGGAACTATTTACAAAATGTGTACTTTAAATTTGACGTATTTTTTGCCTTAATATATATTTCTTGTCCCACTTTTATTTTTATCTTTAGGGTTTAATCATCTGCAAAATTCATAAAAGAAGTCCTGTAATTAAAAATTGTTTCGGTTTTTAATATTTATAAATTATAACCCCTTGAAATAATTCCTACACCCTACCCACAAATGAACCACCCGTTATCAATCAGCTGAATTCTCACTGTGTCTCATTGTGAATGGCGTCAGCTGATGGGGATTTGGGTTACTCCCCACAAACGGTCACACCATCGGATCCAAAGTTTATAAATACGAAAGTCCCCAAAGGTTCGTCAGCAATAACAGCTCAGCAGACCAAACCAAAACAAACCACAAAACCAAAAGAAGTGACAGCTTTAAAGCAAAATAACAATTGCCCTAGTGATACAATTTGTAGGGGCCCAGTGTGTGATACAATCGTCTAAATTTAAAGTGTGAAAAACTGAGCAAACTTTTGGCAGCCGATTGAAAAACAAATTCCGTTGGTGTGTGCCGAGTGCTACACGAAAAAACACAGGAAAACTATAACCAACAGAAATCAGGCAATGTCATTGGAGGATCTCAAGTCCAAGTTGCGCCGTCATCCGAAGCTAGTGGGCCTAGGCGGAGTGGGCCTCCTTAGTGCGTAAGTAAATCACGCCATGACACCCCGGAAAAACCACAACAAACCCCATATTCTAGAGCAGCTGCTACAGGTCTCAGTCTCACTAAAAAGTCTATTTAAAATCAAATGACATGCTAATAATATCAAATCGTGATAAATTCTGCATTTGATGAAGCTAACACTATCTTCCTTTGCTAACATCCTGATTTCAAGTCCCAACCAAAGCCCGACCAATTTTTTATTTTCTTTGATTTTACCTTTCATAAATACAATTTTTAATATATATTTAAAAAAAACAGAAAAGAATCATCACATTTTATCCAATTTTTCTTGATGTGCAGCAAAATAAGGGAATTTAGAAAAACACCTCCCACTGACACACTTACAACTTTTACAAAGTTTACCAAGATTTAAGGGGCTCGGCTACACACGTTTTTATTTTTGTTGTCCCATTTTAAACGGCGCCACATGGCATAGAATAAGTCGTACGATCTAGATATACTATATATATCTAGAAAAATAAAAACAACAACAGATCTTGTTTTCCGCATTCCCTATACTAAGCAGGCGTTGTCGCACATGTGACGTCATTTGTTTACAACAAATTATGCGATGATTAATCAGGCTATACAAGCTCAAATACGTTAATGGAAAACTCGCCACAAACAAAAGGTGTTTGGTGGTGTGATTAAAAAAAATGATATTGCCTCTAAGACTAACAAAGAAAGTTTCAAGAATTCAATTTTAATTTTTAAAATTTGTGTAATAATTTTCATTAATGATCATAGCGAAACAAAATAATAAGCCTTTTGAAACTTCAAATAAGAGTATATGCATAGTCTTTAACTGGCACATATAGCCTGACTCTTTTATTTTCTCAGCAAAACACGATCAAAACAAAACGTACGATTTTGAAAAAGTGAGATAGCAAGCTGATGAAGTTTATTTGTTTTTGCCTCGGCTTCTTCTTATTCAGCGTGTGCGTGAACAGCTGTTCAAGGCCCCCCAAAAAAAAAACACTGAAAAAACCGCTATGCCAAAACTATCATAGCGCCAAAATAGTGCGCAGCTTAAACGTATTTGTGAGAACCCCCTCGAATTTATAGATCTCCTTATCAGAAGTGATAATTGTTGTTTTTCTTGTTGTTTGCTTAGGAATTTTGCCACTATGGCGCGTGTTTTTGGGATAGTGGGGTAGTTGTTTTGCAATTGGAGGTGACGCGCCCACTTTTTTAAAAATAAACAATCTAGTCTTCGCTTTCGTTGTTGTTGTTTATCTCACGTTTATCTCAATAACAAATAGTTGGCAGCAATAGGTGTTGTTGTTATTTAAGGTCAATTAATCAGAAAAGGAACAACAATTGAAATAAAACGGAAGTTAAGATAAGAAATTAAGAACTGAACTTTTAGTTCTCTGCCCTATATTATTGAGTTATAGATAACTATGATTTACAAATTGATTAATTTCGGCTTTGAGTATCTTTTTGAAGCTAAAATATAAATATTTAAAATTAATGAAAATTCAAATTTTAAAAAGCCTTAGGTGAAAGCAATAACAAATGCGACAACAAACTATACAATTTTGTTTATTGTACTTTTACCTACAAAACAATTTGTTGGCAGCGGTAATAGTAATTTTGCTAATTAGATCATTAAGTAACAAGTGATATTAAAATATAGAAAAAGCTAAATTCAAATATGTAAATAGCAATTGAACAGAATGGATAAAATGTGAATTAATATATTAATTCTTAAATTATTTTCTATTCCAGTGCTGGTTTTTTGCTGTACGAGTCGCCGCAGGTGCGCAGATTCCTCTCTCAATATGTGGACAAGAAATCTCCGGAGCCAGACAAACGGCGCGCTGAGTACATCTACATCAAGTACCACATTTACCGCGAATCCATGCGAAAGCTGAAGCAGAAAGAGGAGGACGAGAAGAAGTGGATCAGCGTGATCATCAATCCGATCGGGAAATGGTGGAAGGCGGCTAAGCACTCGGTGGCCTGGCGTTTGCTAAATATCGCCCAAACTGGCAGCCAACCAGAGCGCCTGAAGGCGGTGCAGCAGCTCATCTGCATGGATCACCTCAAGGACTGGGATTTCAGGCATCTGGCACAGATCTGTGATGCCCGCACTGCCGTCTCCTTGGCCCGCTGCAACGCCGACACGCGCTGGTTCATGCCCGTTCATCGACGCGGCTGCATCAAGAATCCCAAGATGCTCCTCTCCGAGCTACATGTGATGTTGGCCCGCCTGCGACCCATGTCCTGCGTGGACCACTTCTTCAGCAAATACTTTCCCGAACAGGATCCCATTGTAAGTTGTTTTTTAGTACCATTTTGTGACAAAATTAAGTCAATTCTTTTATTCCTGCAGGAGGACATCCACGAATACTTGACCCAGGAACAGACCATTGTTCTTTCCACAGCCGACACGGATTTACTCAAGGAAATCATCTCTTTTCTTCATCACATTACCAAGGATCCCGAGGCCTCCGCTAGGATTATAAGAGACGGAGGCCTTGTTCATCTCATGGAGCTGCGAAAGATATTCAGCGACGACAACGAGACCTTATCGACACTATGCAAGGTGTTGGCCAACATATCCCTGGTTCCCGATGCCGTGGAACATTTCTTTTCGTCCGGTTGGGTGGGAGCCCTTGCAGAATGGCAGCAGTGCCCTGATCTCCGCCTGCAAGTGATCTCAGCCAAGACGATGGCCAATCTGGATCACGACGATCCCAATCAGTGCACCTATCCACCAAATGTTTATCCGCTGCATCCCCGAGTCCGCACGCGCAGGAAGCCCAAGGCAGATATCGTTTTTGTCCATGGATTGTTGGGTGGTGTGTTTATCACCTGGCGTCAGCGGGATAGGAAGCCCACAGAGTTGGGTCTGTATGGAAAGAATGCTTTCTATACCAGTGAAACGGACGATGTGTTTCTGGTGGGGGAACAGAAAAGAGTTAATGGCAGCAAGCAAAAGAAGGAGCAGGGTAAACCATTGGTTTCCGCACAAGCCACTGAGGCTGCCAAAAATGGCAATCCAAATCCCAAGACAGAAACAATCAAAGGTAAATGAATATTGTAACTTTAGTTTATTCTCAACTTATTCGCTTCTCGTTTACAATTTCAGATCCTGTCTTAAAAGCCAGCAAGAAAGTGGAAGAACGGAAACTGAGCATAAGCGATGCGGCAACAATGGAATTCGTTGAGACCCTGAGAAACGAAGCCGAATTGGACTCGGACTGGGAGGTCGTCCACCCTGATGTTCCGCTAAATGCCAGCGAAGACTGCGTCGGAAAATTCAGTGTATCCGGAAGTGAGTGGCGAAACCAGGACACCAGTGATGAGTACACCAACTGCTGGCCCATGGAGTGGCTGCCAGACGATTATCCAGATTCCAGAATTCTCGGCATAGATTACACTTCAGCGGTCACAGAGTGGTCGGCCAATTTTACAAAATACTGTCCGTGTGAAAAGGGACAGGGTCACATTGATGTAAGAGCCGGCACGCTGCTCGAGAGAATCTCCGCCGCGGATGTGGGTAACGAACGTCCGATTGTGTGGATAGGACATTCCATGGGGGGTCTGCTTACCAAGCTGATACTGCTCAAATCCCTGGACTCCCAGGAGCCGAAGGTCCAACAATTGGCCAAGAATACCAAAGGCATTGTATTTCTGGGTACCCCTCACCGTGGGTCCCCCATCGCCAAGTGGAAGCAACACATGCAGATGATACTCTCGCCCTCCATTGAGGTCAAGGAAATGGAGGAGAACTCGCCGAAGCTGCTGGAAATGCATCGACGCTTTATGGGCTGTCTGCACACGTTCCTTCGCCATGTGAAGGTCGTCAGTGTCGCTGAAGGATCGCCCACCATGCTGACCACATTCAAGTTCCCACTTCGCATTGTAACGGAGGAGTCCTCTAAGATAGATTTCGGGGATTTCTATCTACTGAAGGATGACCACTTAAGTCTCTCCAAACCGATTTACAGGCAATCGTTCCTGTATCAGAGATTATTGCATGTTATTCGCGAAGCCGTGAAGGAGAGATCGGATACCAAAGAACAGGATGGCCAATCGCAAGTCACTCCAAAAGAAGATATCGTGCTTATGAACATGGTGGCTATTCTGGTGAAGGGAGCCAAGGGTCTGTTCGAATCGCTGCCCAGAGTGGCACTAAGATTTAGCACTTAGGATGCTTGATCACATACCACGCTACACGCCAGTACCTTAATAGTATCCCGATTAGTCTATAAACAACATAAAAAGTATTTTCCAAAACAGAGCCGAGCTCTATTTTGGGGTTTTTGCTTTTCCACACGACTCATCATGACCAGATCCTTGTAAATACTCTCGCACTCCATGTAGTTTCTTACTCCCAAATCTTAATTTTCTCGGTCTATGACTTAAACGTTTAAATAAATGTACATGATTTACGCTAACAAATAAGACTTTTTATTTTAGTGTCCTAGACACTATTATTACACACCGCAAGGTTTTACAAATGCGTTTAAGTTGACTATTTTTCTTGAAGAAAAATGCATTACATAAGTAAAACATTTAAAAGAAAAGTCCGTCGTAAGTTTCATTAATTTTCAACATAAGCATTTAAAATATATTTTATTATAAAATGTATCCTTATCAAAATTAACAATCTAATCCTATAAATATTAATTCGTTGCTTTATAGGGCCATTTCTCTAACTGGGATTCTGGGTCTCTAGCTGCTGCTTGGCTTTTAATCGCTCCTGAGCCAATCTTCGGTTCTCCGCAATCCTAGCCATCTGATCGGTGGACAGTTTCTTAGTGGCCGGCGTTGGAGGCTGCGAAGGGGGCAGTGGTTGGCCATAATCACTGATATCCATCGAAGCCAACGGTGCTCCGTTTCGGTCAAAGGTAGGAGCCACTGCAGCTCCATTTCGGTCGAAGGAGGCTCCATTCACTGCAGAGTACGGCGTGGACATCACTGCATTTCCACGGGAGAATGAAGGAGTGGCCAGCGTACTGTTGCTGGAGGCAGTGGACATTTTCCTCTGATGTGGTGTGCGGGGTGCTAGCCTGGACATTGCAATCTGCTCGCCCAGCAAGGCATCGAACTCATCGAAGGGTTCATCGCCGGCTCGGTCCTGTTGCTCATCATGCGCCTCTTCCATGGCCTCCGCCTCGTGGGCGCGCATCTCATCTAGCTGGCCCAGACGATACCGCGCCATGTGCACCTGGAGCGGCTTTTTCTTGCCCAGCCGCTCGATATTGTTGAGGACATCGTCGAATGTGTAGGTGGGATACATGCGATGACCCCAATGCTGCAGGCGCCGCAGCACCTCGTCGAGATCGGTTTTCTCATGCCCCTTGCCCCTGAACTTGACGTCTTTGAAGTAATTCTCGATGGTCTGGATGCCACGGGGACCGCGGAGTGTTTCTACCGTGAGCCTGGGACGGGGATTTCTTACCGCCCTCTTCTTGGGCTCCACTTTCTGGGCATCCTGGCTACCATGTTCTCCGGCATTTTCATCGTCGTCCGCAAACAGTTTCTCGCCTTCACCGTCGCTGGGCAACTGATCCGGATCCCCCGGCAGGTTGTCATTAAAGAGGTCATCCACACCATCGTCGCCAAAAAGGGAAGCCATGGACAACTATCGGAATTTGCAATGGCCACTCAAAACTCAAGCACAACAAAAAAATATAACAAAAATTTTACCGCCATTTTCTGCTTCTTCCTAATTTACCATTCACAGGCGACGCTTGCATAAGTTACAGGGCTGCCAACTGAATGGCTCTTTGTTCCTTAATTTTTCCGATTACATAACTATTTGGACATTTTCCAATGCTATTTGGATTATTGTAGTTAAATCTACATAAGTGGGTGGCGTAGAAAGTGATTTGTACAGCCACCCGGCATTTGCATTGGTGGCAACAGACAGTAGAGATGGGAGCGTGACACGTTTTTCAGGCCCGAGCCAACTATGCACAACGGTTTTTTATTTATTTTAGCTAAGCTTAACGAGAAAAAATTATAGCATATATCTAGAACGCTTAAAACGTACTAGTTTTTACTAGTCTCAAAGAAGGTATTTCTATAATTTTCTTGATATTAAAATAAAATGCCAGTATCTGGATTAAAATTAACACTTAAGTCGCAACTTCCGTATAATTCCGTATTTATATATTTTTGAAAAATGATTATACAGTGCAGCTTGGAATTGTAGATTAAATACATATACATATGTATAAATATATGGTACAGTTTCCCGCACAATGCATTGTTATTGACACGTCGTGACTTTCGTGCCCAGACACAATTTATGAGCAACTCCCATCTCCAAGTCCAGAGCAACTCTGCGTATCGGGTGGCCTGGCAACGCCAAAAAAACGCCATACTTCCAAGAGCATTTTTCGGGGCGAGTTTACATTTTGCGGATAATTGTGGAAAAAGCGGTGAAAGAACGTGCAAACACAAAACCAAAAATCGCTGCCTAAATGTGGTCACTACGTGTGATAAGAACGTCACGTTTAAAAAGCTGAACCTTTCATTTCTGGGCAAAAAAAGAGCGGTTTTCTGCGAGGGCGAGCAAAGAAAATTAAGTGTGGTGGGAATCGGAATCGGGATTCTACGCATTGTACGGCGTATCAGCTGAAGAAGAGATTGTGTGCACCTCAAGCAAACAAAACCAAAACAAAACAAAACCGTTTGGAGAACTATGAGATCCTAGGGCTCACCGCGCCGAATTCAATTCGACCGCCATGGACAAGCGATTCAAGTGGCCGCTCAAACAGCGGGCCAACTACTCTGAGTCGCCCTATCACCACAATCCGTCGCGTGGCTACCAGAGGCATCTGCACGGCCATCTCAATCAGTCGCAGCACACGCATCCCGGCAAGAGTTATGCGCGCCAGCATCACGGCTATAGCCATGGCGGCCATGGCGGGGGCGCCAATAGCTACCGCAAGCCACTGGCGCCTCCGCCGCCGCCCCCCTCTGTTCACGTGGGGGGTGGAGCCATGCCGCCACCTTCTTCCGGCGGGTCAGTGGGTGCCGGCGCCGATATGGTCACCCTGATCGTGGAGAACAACAACCTGAAGCGCATGATTGTGCTGCATTTGAAACTGATGCAGGAGCAAACGGATAGCCTGGCGGCCAAGGACAAGGATCTGGACGACCAAAGTGCCAAGATGGGTATGGTGATGGCGCAGAACCAGGAACTAAAGCTGGCTGTTGCCAAGCTGGAGGCCGCCAACGAGGATCTGCGCAAGCAGTTGCGAAGAAAAAACCAGCGGCGGAACGACGATGACGACGACGACGACGATGATCACTTACTGCCTCCTGCTGCCCCGCAGCTGAAGCTGATCCGCTGCCATGCCGAGACGCAAACTGTGCTCCGGGAACGGGAACAGTGCACCCAGACAATGGACGTGCTGCCGCAGCAGGCGGAGGCGAAACCCAGGATACTGATGGTGGAGGAGATTCCAGCTGTGCCTCAGCACGCTGGTGCGGTCACAAATCCGCCCGCCGACAAACGCTCAGAGAGCAAAGGACGCGGCGAGTTTAATGGCAAAAAAGTCAGCACCTTCATCCTGCAGCGCATGAATCAGGACTTCAAACATCATATCCAGGAGGAAAAGGACCACGGGGAAGAGCAGACCAAGCAGAAACATGAGCAGTTGCAGGAGGAGGACGACCATCTTCGGGAGGAGATTCATCTGCGGGGAGAGGACGACCATTTGAGGGAAGAGGACGACCATTTGCAGATGCAGGAAGTGCAAGGTGAGGAAGTCGTAGGGGGCGATATCTTCCACGATGCTCTGGACGCCATTGAAATGGAGGTGGTTAGCGAGGAGCTGGTGGATTTGGAGGAGAATGTACAGTCTGTGGATGCCAACGGCCATATGGAGGAGGACGATGATGAAGATGAGCAGGACGAAACGGATGAAGAGGACGATAGCGAAGAGGATGAGGATGACGAGGAGGATGCTCAATCGGTGACCAGCAATATGGATATGCACTTTCGGCCTGAGAACGATCTCTGGCAGAATCAGGTAAGTTTTGTGAATTTTTTGTGTTAAACGATCATATCAAGCAACCCATACTCTGCAGATAAACTCTATGGAGTTGGATATGACGGAGGAGAAGGTAATAGCGCCTTCGGCCCACTCGACGCCAAATCATCAGCAGAATTCACTGCCACAGGTTGAGGATGAAGAACAGGATCCAAGAAGCGAAAAGCAGCTGCAACTGGAGCCTAAAGAAAAGATCGAAAAGCAGTTGGATCAGGAATTAGGGGCTGTTGAACAAATGGAGGTCGACAACGTCGTGATCGCCGCTGATAAAATGGGACAAGACAAGTCAGAGATTGAAGGAAATGCCTTAAAAACGCTGATTTTTCTGCAAGAAGTCGGGCTCAAGCAGAAGGAGGAGAATCAGAAAGTGGCCATTGAGTTGTTGGAAATGCCTAAGGAGCCGCCAAATCGTCAAGATAAAGCCACGGAGGATCACAAAGCAATCAAGAAGCATCAGGATATTTCCAGGGAGCAACAGAAGCACCAGGAAACTCCCAAGGCGGAACTAAAAAACACGGATCCTGCCAAGGAGCAAAAGGGGCTGGATAGGCAAGAGGTTGTCCGACTGGAACCCCTGGAGGATGCACGCAAGAAGCACATGGAAATTGCCAAGAAGCAAATGGAGGATGTATCCGAGCCGCTACCAAACGCAGTTACACCTAAGGTAGCTGCTGTTACGAATCCATCTGCTAGGCAAACTTCGCTGCCCAAGGCTGACACCGCTGATATAAAAGGTTTACCTGCTCAAAAGATTATTGCTAACCATCAGTCCACAAAGACCCAAACAGATCCTATAAAAAAGCAGCGTTTGCAGGTTAAGATCAGGCAGCATGAAAGGTTCTTTGTCAAGACGGTCGGCTCCTTCGCTCCCTCCGAACCGAGAAAACACAAGATCAATGATCAGGAACAAGAGGCCGAGATAAAGGTCATGAAACATCTGATGGTTAATGATAAGACCATTACAAAGCACGCTAAAATCGATGATCAAGACTTGGCCCACGTGGAAACTGTGAAACGCAAACTGGCCGAACATTTAAAAAAGGAACTGCTTAGCCAGAGTCAGCAGTCACCCGTTGCTCTTAAGAAAACTATTAAGGAGAGAGCGGCGACAAATTTAATCTATCCACCACCCAATGCACCTGTATCCTCTACCACAATAACCCCAGCGCCCACGCCGTCGACGACACCCACGCCGGGCTCCACGCCACAGCCGACACTCACATCCTCAATCGAATTGGAAATATCTGCGGCAAAATCCAAATCCAAGGCACCTGAACAGATAGCAACTCCTCTGACACCTCAATCCAATAGCAGCGTTAGCAGTAGCACTTCCACAACCCGGAAAACCCTAAACAACTGTTCACCCCACACGTACAGCAAGGCGACCGCGAGATCGGGTATATCCAAATCCAGATTCCGCACCGCCACGTTTCCGTACAGCACGAGAACGTGGGAGGATCAGGAGTTCCACTGCGACAACGAGTTCTTCCTGGAGGAGGCCGACGAGCTGCTGGCGGATAATCCTAGCCTGGAGATACCCAAGTGGCAGGATATCCCAGTGCAGCCCAGTTCTGATAAGAGTAATATAGAAGCACTGAGCGATGCTGCTTTCGAGCGGCGGCACCAAAAGTATGTGAAGGATGAGATCGATCGAAAGTGCCGGGATGCACGTTACATGAAAGAACAGATACGGCTTGAAGGGCTAAGGATGCGTCGCAATCAAGACGAAGTATTGGTTGCGCTGGATCCGCTGCCCACGTCCACCTTCTACCCGCTTCCCGAGGACATCGATGGTGTCCAATTTGTCACCGAGGTGCCAGTTCAAGCGTTCGGAGAAAATATGGTCAATATGGAGGCGAGAGATGATTTCGGTGTCGCCTGGGTGGATGCTGTCGAAGCGCCCACCTCCATAGCAAGGTCCAAGGCGCTTGCCGAGCCGGTTGCAACGTTGGCCAGCAAAAAGCTGACCACCACCGCCGCCGAGGCGAGGCATCAAGAAAAACACTCCTCCTACGTGTTTCCCAAACGACGCAAGCGCCAGAAGAATCGTTAGCCAGGCCGCACCTGGGGAATGTGCTTCGGGAGCTGAGCTGACGAGTGGCGGTCGGGCGGAAGACGTTGCGTTTACCATACTGATGATTTTCATTTTCTAATTTTTAGTTACTTCTTAAGCGTGAAAGTGAAAGCACCAGAGTTAACAGTACCCAATCCCAGATATCGTCAAGTTGTCATGTAATCCAGATCAGACGATGTTGATTGTATATATGGTTCCACAGCTGTTTTTTTTGTATTTGTAATATGAAATAAGAGGAAACACTTTAAGACATTTTGTTGAAGAAACTATTAAACTATACATTTTACACGTTTAAAATTCCATGCGAGTTCATTAAACGAGTCCAAATTAAGCTGTCCTGTTAATATATAATATATTAAATTCGATGTACAGTTTCAAATTAAATTCACTGCAGCTACGATATTTCCACTTTTTTAAACCTTTTGTCCGTCGCCTGGTCTGGAAATGATTAGTTTTAGTTATCATCCTGCAATCCGTTGAAATTCTAAAGAGTTTCACTCTAGCTTGTTGCTAGCTTACGAAAATTACGTAGGGTTGATTTCTCAATGTAACGTAAAGTTATTTTGCTGTTTCGGAATCATTTATTTTCTTAAAGTTACCATGGGCTTTCAAAAAATGCAATTTTAAGTTAACTTTCTCTGTCAGATTTCAAACTAAAACTTTAACCTGACATTGGGAAATCGGCTCTAGTCCTAAACAACATGTAATCTAATTCAGTCGATAAGTTAGATCGGATAAAACATCTCAGCTTTATCACCTTTAAGATCGCCCGTACTGAAGTGATAAAGAAACAGAAAGGATATAATGTTCAATGGGCTGTTTTTTTGGAGAAACACAAAGAAATTCGTAGACTTCTATTTTTAAATATTTTTTTCCTAGCTCGTATAACACATTTTTTTGTCTTTATTTATACTATGTTATGTCAAGTCGATGCTCTAACGTAGACAACGAGTGTGTTGCTAAGAGTTGCTCAGGTATATCTCTGATAATTTTTTTTTTTTTTGATGGTTTGATTGTGTGTAAAAATTGTATGCGAGATGTTGTCTGCTTAGAGTTATCGGATTTTACTTTAAACGTATTGTTTTATTTTATTATTTTCTTTTTACTTGTTTCATGTTTTACCAAAAAAAAAAACGTCGTTAAAACACAAACAAGATTTGAAAAATAAATATGAACCTGATTTCCAAGCTGTAAACACGTTTAGCCGCAAATGCACCATATATTCGGAAAGAATTATTTTCATTTAGCACGTCTTCTGTTTGACTTTCAGTCGCAATGATAAGGAGCCTGCCAACGTCCGGTGGAAATCAAATCCCCAGCTCGCCTTCGAGTAACGCCTCTATTTTTGTACATTTCTGTAGGTGTAAAGTCGGTTATTTGTAATATAGCGTTAAGTAGGCACGCATAGAGAGATAATTATAATGTAACAAAAAGAATATGATGCACTGTACATTGTCCAGGAGGAAAAGAAGCAGAATAATATGAACGTCGTTCAACACCCTTTTTACACCATTCTATGTAATTAGCGTTAATTAGTTCAATTTACTGAAGCTTCAACTGAAAATCAATTCGAAATTAATTGCCACCACTGTAGATCCCAAAACAAACACTTACTCTAAGAAAAATGTACTACATACAATGTATTTGTATTTGTTTAACAAGTTTTATTGTAAAGATAATGATAATAATATATCGGATAAAGTAAATTGTAAAGCAACAAAATGCAATCAATACTTGAACTCGCTACTTATTTTGCACAGGTGATATGTTAATGAAATTCTGATAATTGACAGTTGGTTTTTGGAATCGCAATTTAGCAGGCCTTGTTCGGTTTTCACAAGTATTTGGTTTCGATATGGAACTGGTTTTCAAAGTTGCCTTTTTTGTACATAATATTTACGTTTTAGCCATTTATGTAAATGGTTAAACTATTATTGCACATTTAATTCCTCTTAAATTTACTTTAACAGAGCTTAATAATATTTTATCGAAATGTATAATGCTTCTGACATTCAATAATACTAATGGGAAAACCCTCATATAAAAAGTATTTGAAAACCAGAAAAGTGTAGGTAAAAACAGTTAAAATATCTTTAAAAACCGGAGAAGACCAGCTAGATTCTACATTATTTATCGCTCTGCGTCAAGTACTGATGTCCTATGGTTGCCCACAGCTCATCCACATCCTCCATGCTTTCGCGCCAAAGCTTCTGAAGGAGTTTCCATCCCTGTTCTTGGGTCACCAGTAGATAATCATTCGTTGGATGCAGTGTGTGGGTGTAGAGCCCCATCACCAGGCTCTGAACCAATCGGGCAGCCACACAATATTTAAGGTGAGCCAGTTCGGAGTTGTCAATGGGAATTCCACTGGTGTAACCGGCCAAAAAGATGCCTCCATTGGCCAAATCGTTGGCCTGCAGGATCATATAAGTGAGGGCGACTCCAATTTCAAAGATTAGCGGCGATTTGCTCGTATCCCCAAAATCAATCACTCCTTTGATGGTGTATTCGGTTTGATTGGGGGCTTGCTCCACCACAATGTTTTGTTCGTTGAAGTCACCGTGGATGATCTGGTGCTCCAAAGTTGGTAATAGACTTAGAACCTTCGCCTCGAAAGCATCGATCACCTCCTCGCAGATAAGGCGTCGCTCTTGATCCTTAACCACATACAGAAATTGCCTCAGTTCCGGAACACTTTGCAGCATCCACAGGGTCTTGTGGGTTTCGTAAGCCGTGTGGGTGAAATTCTTCAGGGCTCGATCCAACTTGGCCAAGTATTCCCCGCTGCGGTAGAGCAGATGCTTGGTCACAGGCACTTGGTGGAAGATTTCACCGGGTATATATTCCAGAAGGCGCACCACATTTGAATTCCCATTGAGCCGCTCAACCGAGTAATATTTCCCAGTGGCATTGGCTATCGGCCTGGGGCACTTAACGCTGTGTTTTCCTAATTAATTGTAACATTTAGTAAAATATTTTAGCTTGCGAAAAAATAAACAGGTATTTACCCAAATAAAGCAGAAGTTGATTCTGGCCGTCCACAAAGTCCTCCTTTTTGGAGTCCAGTGAGTTCAGGATTTTTAGGACGTAGCCGTTAGGACAATGGGTTACAATAAGGGGGTTCTTAACATTGCTGTAATGGTTAAACATTTTTTATTATTAACGTGCCAAAGGCTTTGATTAAAAACTAAAATCAATAACTGAATGATATTTTTGTAAGAGGTTTTAAAGATAAGTAATATGATTCATTTGACGTAAATATTTCTGTCTTGTAATAATATGTAACATATAAAAAATACTTTTAAAAACTTAATTCTTTCGTGTTGTTTATTTGGAAAGGGTTTATTAAAAACTCATATTTTTATTGACTTTTTAATAAAATCATTGATCATATATGTTTTTAGCTTGATTTAAATGTAGCGGGTTTGCATATTCGATTTTATAAACCTTTTAACTAGATTTCAGTGTTGACTAAGGTTTAAGAATTAATTTCCTTGTGAATGGCAATTTGATATTTTTAAGTTGCGCTCTTCAGCCACACTATTGCATTGGCAACTTTTGGCGCTAAAAGCGGCGATTTTATTGATTGTTTTTCTGTTTATGTGTTATTATTGTTAGCCCAACAAATGGGAATTACCGGCCTGATACCCTTCGTGGAGAAGGCCTCCTCGCGTCTGCAACTGAAGGATATTCGCGGCAGCACAGTGGCCGTGGACACTTATTGCTGGTTGCACAAGGGAGTTTTCGGATGCGCGGAAAAGTTGGCCCGCGGCGAGGATACGGATGTTTATGTCCAATACTGCCTGAAATATGTTCAAATGCTACTATCCTACGATATCAAGCCCATCCTTGTGTTCGATGGTCAGCATTTGCCGGCCAAAGCGTTGACCGAAAAGAGGAGAAGGGATTCCAGGAAGCAGAGCAAGGAAAGGGCGGCGGAACTCCTTCGATTGGGACGCACTGAGGAGGCCCGATCTCATATGCGCCGTTGCGTGGACGTCACTCACGACATGGCCCTGCGGTTGATCAAGGAATGCCGCAGCCGGAATGTGGACTGCATTGTGGCACCCTATGAGGCGGACGCCCAAATGGCCTGGCTCAACAAAACCGATTTGGCACAGTACATCATCACCGAGGACTCGGATCTGACGCTGTTCGGGGCCAAGAAGATCATCTTCAAGCTGGACCTCAATGGCAGCGGTTTGCTGGTGGAGGCCGATAAACTTCACCTGGCAATGGGCTGCAAGGAGGAAAAGTATCACTTTGAAAAGTTCCGTCGCATGTGCATCATATCCGGCTGTGATTACCTGGACTCACTACCTGGCATTGGATTAGCTAAGGCCTGCAAGTTTATACTCAAAACGGAACAGGACGACATGCGAATAGCACTAAAGAAGATACCCAGCTATCTTAATATGCGCAATCTAGAGGTAAGTCATTAGCCAGTGATAATCAAAAGTCTCAAGCTTTAACTCAACTTTTTGCTTCAGGTAGATGACGAGTACATTGAGAATTTCCTAAAAGCGGAGGCAACATTCAAGCACATGTTCATCTACAATCCTCTAGAGCGTCGCATGCAGCGATTGTGTGCCTTGGAAGACTATGAAACCGACGAACGCTACTGCAGCAATGCTGGCACATTGCTGGAGGATAGCGATCAGGCTTTGCATTTAGCCCTGGGCAACCTAAATCCCTTCTCACTCAAGCGTCTCGACTCTTGGACACCAGAAAAGGCCTGGCCAACGACAAAGAATGTGAAACGAGCCAAGCACAAGAGCATTTGGCAAGGGAATTTCCAAAAACAGAACCCTGCGACACCAAAGAAAGAAAATTCGTGTGCATTGTTCTTCAAAAAAGTGGATTTTGTGAGCAAAACCGTTGACGAGGAGATCGAGGCTAATCAGAAAATAGAAAAGGCCAAACAAACTGAGGCGCAGGTGTTTAACATGTATAGTTTTAAAGTGAAAAGAAAGAGGAGTCCGAGCAGGGAAGAATCTATTGATCAAGAGCGCACACCTCCGCCGTCGCCAGTGCAAAAGAGTCGTCACAATCCCTTTGCCAAGGAACGGACTGCAGACGAAGCTTCCCAGCGATCTCCGGTGGTATGTGAGAATTCCTCCTTGCTGCGTTTGCTCAGTCCCAAGAAGGCAAGCCCTTTGGGCGGAGAAGCTGATCAAACAAGGATTAATACTCTCAAAAGAAGCATTTTCGCCAAAGAGCCAGTGCAGGTGCGAAGTCGCTTTTTTACATCGCAGGCCGAACAGACAAGGCTCCAAAAGGAGCAGCCAAAGGACGAAGAAAATGAAGAAAAGGACGAGCAGGAGCTGGACTCAAGCTCTAGCAATAAAAAATTAAGACTAGAAAAGAATGACAGTGTAGTAAGTAATCAAAAAAGACAATGTTCTAGCTCGCCTTGCTGTGAGGAAGGAACGGATACAGAAACCACTGCCTCTTCCCTTTTGGCAGCACAAGAAAATAATGTTCCTTCGCATTCAGGATCACAAGAATATCCAGCCACTTCTCAACCAGAAAACACAACTAAAGACACAGGAATACGCATTAAATCCCTTGATTTACTAGTAGACAACACTCTGGAATCCACAGATGCCGATAGGAACAACAATGATGCCATCATCCTGCTATCCGACGACAGCTGTAGTTCAGAGCAAACAGCCTCATCCATCTCATCCTCCGCCCTGCAACGCCAGAATTCCCTGCCAGCCAATAAACGAAGAATAGGACTGAGTAAACCCTCCACTGCCAAAAAAGCAACTCCCAAGTCCAAGACAAACGGCAAACTCGGAGTCGTGAGTGAGAATCAAACCAAACTCAGCATGTTTGGCTTCCAGAAGAGACCTGTTCTCAAATAGATTGCTATTTCTAGACTGTAACCTTTTTGTACTTTAGATTAATCTAATTTATTAAAGTGAAGACTTGAACTGACTACTTCAGTACTGAATGCTATGAATCCATCAAGATAACAATTGCGATGCTGGCAAGGTGATTTCAGACTGTCGAGTAGCGCGTCACACTCAACTGCCGCGACTAACAACTTTAATTAAACGAGGTATAAATAGATGCTACAACCCGCCGCATTTCTCTGGCGCATTATCATCTGTTTTCGTGTTGCATAGTTGTGCTTGGTACTGCAACTAAAATTGCGGTCAGATTAACAGCACAGAATATAGTTTAGGTAAACAAATAATATAATGTTTAAGATTTCTAAATAATGGTTACATTAACTTGAATAAGTGTAAAATCTTACCTAAATTAACTCGACTTAACAAATCTAGAAAGATGTTTAAATTGTAAAGTATAGTATCTTGTACTATTATTCTGACTGCAACTGTATATAAGCTGTGCATTCTGACACCAGATAAACCTCCGGGTGTGATGATGAGTTAAATAAGGGTGTCAGCTAGATACTCCCTACGTTTTTCTTACCTATCCTCTTTGACAAAAAAATTGCGATCGTCGTAGGCTATTATTTCCTTAACCTCGCTTATCGTGATCCCGTAGAGACGTCGCAGCAGGCTCTCCACATCATCGGGCTCAACTTTTGGACGCACATCCGATCCGGGCTTGAGTAGATCGCCATCCACAGCCTGGTCATCCGCAATGGTTCCATTTCCGTTCGAGGGTGTCGCGTTGTTTTCCTTGTTCAATTTCTCGGCTGCATCGTATGCATGATTCAGGGTATACGACTTTTTGGACATATTCGTCAGCTCCACATTGTTCCACTGCTCCATTTTATTTTGGGTCTCTATCGGAGACGCAAAAGACCAAAGGCCAAAAACCCGTATGTAAAAAAATATCAATTAGAAGGCGAATAAGAGTCGAGGTGGGAAATGTTTTCGGTTGCGCGTTCTACAGCGAAATGAATTGGATTTCAGTTTGAGTTTCAATTGAAACGAGTTCGTCGACGTCTTCTCCATATCTTATTCGCCAGTCAGTCTGCGTTCAAGTACAGTCAAATATCGCTCATTTAATCCAGAATCTGAATATGGATCACTAGTTGCACAATTTAAAAATGTTTTCTTTGCAAATACCAACTCAAAAATAAAATTTTTTTTTTAACGATTATGAATAGAACATTTTTTTTAATGGTTTACGTACATATATTAAATTGGAAAATGTTACTCGCTTAGGAAATTTGATTTTTAGAAATTAAGTATTATTTCTTTTTATTACAAATGTATTTTAAATAAAGTAGCTCTGTGTTTCTAGTTAATTTAAATATATAGGTATTTAGGTGTTAAATCTGTCAGTGGGTATTTGTTTAGTGAGGTTTGACTGTATCTGCGTATGATTTGGTCCCGTGAGTTTTATTTCATGTGGGTGAGTGTGTGAGCCTCTGTCGCCACTTGCAGCGTTAACTTGGTTATTTGCTTAATTTGTTAAAGCCAGGTCTGTTTGCATTTTGATTGTGACTTCAGTGGTGCACCAGACCAGATTGTATTTTCTACATTTTTCGGGTGTTATCAGGGGGAAGACAGTGGTGTGGTTGCCCAACCGTGGAAAAGCAAACTGCCTGTCGTGATCGGTTTTTATTAACGCTCCAGTCAAAGCCGCTCATCAATTATAAGAGCACATAAATCGTTCAGATCGCGGGGATTATTAAAACTAATATGGAGTGGTATAGGACAGAAAATGGATTTCAGATAATACATCGAAACTGTCAACGGAATGATTTAAAAAATAAACGGAAAAAAAATATATTTTGTTGGGGAAAGGTGATAATGTATAATTGAGAGAATTTCGAAGTTTGTCAATCAAAAACCGATAGTTGACCTTGACTCAATTGCAGTTTATTGCTCATACGCAACGTTGTACGTAACTACGATTTTCTGGGCTCACACACACAGTTTCAAACTCACACACACACGCTCAGCTGGGGGTAATTAAAAGCCAAATATATTGCCCATTTGAGACACGCAAATATACACAGCTGACTGCTAATCAAGCACATAAACAAGCCGCCTAGTGCACACATAATCTAAAACACGGCTTATTTTCATTTACCTGTGTACAACAGAAATGCACCTGTGTCTCCGGATCGCAGAAATATTCAACTGAACTTAGTAAATTGTAACGATGCGGCTGAGAACTGACCAGGCGGAAAATCGGTTAGTTTTAGGCCCTTTTGCAATGGCATTACCTTACCTGCAAGGTTACTTATGTAAACAGATAAACCTACCAGCTAACTTTAATAAACACAATAGTGAAATACTTGAAAAACAATAAGCAAAACGAACACATTCAAAAATTCAAAGCAATGTGCAGGCACGCCGACATGCGAATGGCAACTGTGGCTGCTTCTTGCCAATCAACCATCAGCTGCTTTTTTATTTACATATGTTACGGTGTTTGCCAACACTAAATGGCGGCAGATTTTAAATTACATTTAACACATTGAGAAAAAAAAACAATTGTTTTTAGTAGTGTTCTCCACACAAGATCTCCACAATAAAGACTTCAAAAAACACAAACAGAAATTAACTAAACAAAAAAAACTTACAAAAACACAAATAAACTGCAAAACACAAAAAAAATGTTAAAACATAAGTTTAAAACGACGGAATATTATGAAGTAGAGACAAAGGACGAGGTTGAAGAAAGGATACAGACTTATCGGTTCAGTGCTGAAGATAATGACATCGACCCCTGGGATATTCCCTTTCCCTTGCCGGAGCACAAAGACCCGTCCATGTGCCGTGATGAGTTCCTCAGCACCTTCATAGAGGAGCACGAAACCAGGGCGGAATCCATAATGCCCAGATCGACAATTAAGGCCATGTCGGTGATTCAGGGACTTGAGGATTCCAAGGTCCCGGAGTTGGAAAAGGGTGCCGAGGCAATGGTGGTACTGCAGTTGGCCAGGCAGCGCCAGAAGGGGAACTTGACGAAGACCGTGGAGCAGTTCTTGGAGGCAATAAGGATGCGGCCCACCCTGCTGGCGGACCTAAATCGCCAAATCCAGAAGGCGGCCATCGAGTTTCTATCAGTGCGTCTGCTCAAGCAGTTGCGCCTCTTTTCGAGTCCCTGGCCGGGAGAGCTGGAGGAGATCCCCTACCATCTGTTCAGCTGGTCTTTGGATAACTTTATGACGCGCCTAGACGTAAAACAGATGTATCTCGATGTCATTAATCGGGAGCGGAGCGTGGAGGATCTCGACTGCCATAAGTTCTGCAAGGATCTGAGCGAGATTGAACTCCTTATATATGAAATCCGACAGGATTATCGCGACGATAAGGATCTCTGCAAGAACAGTCTCAAATCGTTGCGGTAAGGGTTTTGTACGCATAGTTATTTCCCAATATCCGGAAGAAACCAGTTTCATTGGCTATTGGACCTATTAAACCATTTTTTGACTTTATTATTAATTTTTAATGCAATAAAATTAATTACAGGAGTGCTCAATACAACACGAATGCCCCATGGGTCAAGACCCTTGAAAGGAATCTTAGAATTATTGAAAACGATAATTTCGACTCCGTATTCTTTAACCGAACCAGCTCCTTTAAGATGCTACATCGTCACACTTCTGTAATGGGTGACTTCGAGTCCTCCTCGGGTGAGTAGAAACCTTATATCTCGTATACCCCTACGGAGGTTTTAATTTCGACCGCAGCTTTGGATCCCATCGAGATGCGATATCAAATCAATTGGATAAGAAGCTGTACGGAACAGAGACTGTTCCGGATAAATGGACGGGAGGATGCAATGAGAGAGGGACTAAAGGATCTGAAGGAGCAGATGATGCAGGACGAGTCAGTGCAGTATTCCTCGGAGCTTATGTATTCCTTGGAATTGGGCAAGCTCAGGGCCAGCATTAGGGATTGGCAGGAGCGGCAGTACACCGATCTGGAGAAAGCTGACGTCATGTGTACCGTATCAAAGCTTGCTCTTCAAAAGGTCAAGGACGATCTCAAGTTTTACATGGAGCAGAAGGAAATGTATTTAAGACGATTAGAAGAGGTGCAAGCTGTTATAGCCCTCGAGAACAAGGCTCGCGAACAGAAGGTAAGTTTCTGCAGAGCAGTCTTGCTTTGGTGTCACCAATAGATGATATACATTTTAGGAGTCTGCCGAAAGATTGTCCAGGAAGTCTGAGAGGAAGTCTGCAAGGATGTCTGTAAGAAAGTCTCTGAGAAAGTCTGAAATAAAATCAGAGCGAAAGTCAGAGATAAAGTCGGATCGAAAGTCGATTTCCGAGAGGAAATCTGAAAGAATGTCTGAAAGGAAATCCCGAAATTCTAAAGCCCTATAGTATATTTTTCGGTTTGGATTATTTCACTTGTATATGTTTCCAATTTACCAAAGAGATCATTAAAATATTGTGTTAAATTTGTGACTGTCCTTTTTACTAACCACAATTATATGGGGCCTTTTACAAACAGATTTGTATTTAGGACAACTACATAATACCTGATATTCTTTAGCCGTTGTCAAATATTTAAGGAGATGCAGATCATACAGCAACAATTAAGTTTTTGTCATATTTTCAAAACCAAATAAAATCAGAAAAGGGAAATTAGTACAAAGTTGGAAAGAATTAATATAACACAAAAAAAAGATAAAATTATGATGAACGAGGAAGCGGAAGAGAGCAGAACCGACACTACATCCGACCCGTTTGAGATTAAGTTCCCATTGCCGGACCACCTTGATCCGTCCAAGTGCCGAGATGAGTTCCTCAGCACGATAATGGAGGAGCACGAACGCCGGTTGAGTCTGCAAAAGCTCGCATCAACAACTCGGGCTCAAACGATGATCGAAAATCTTGTGGAGACCGAGGATCCGGGATCCGAGATCGAAAAGGGAGCCGAGGCCATGGTGGTGCAACAGTTGGCCAGACGGCGCCAGAAAGTCGTCGGGAACAAGACCGTGGAGCAGTTCATGGAAAGCATTAGGATGCGGTCCGTCCTTCTGGCGGAACTGAACATCCAAATCCAGAAGGCGGCCATCGAGTTTCTATCCGTGCGTCTGCTCAAGCAGTTGCGCCTTTTTTCGAGTCCCTGGCCGGGAGAGATGGATGATGTACCCTACCACCTGTTCAGCTGGTCGTTGGATCACTTCCTGACACGACTGGACAGCAACCAGATGTACCTGGACGTAATCAATCGGGAGCGGAGCACGGAAGATCTCGACTGTCTAAAGTTCCGAACCGATCTTAGCGAAATCGAACAAATTATATACGAAATTCGGGAAGACTTTAAAAGGGATGAAAACCTCTGCCAAAATAGCATACAACTCATACGGTAAGGGGTCATTTTCTATAAGAGAGTATTCCATGTTCGAAATAAAGAGTGGGTTGCCCTTAGCGATTCCAAGTACAATACAGATGGGGCATGGGTTAAGGGTCTACGGGAGAACCTCGAGATAAAGGAAAACCTAAAGTATGATACCCTGGATGACGAATCAAGCGTTTTCCTTTTGAACAACCGTAAGACGCTGCTTTTGGGTCGTTTCGAAGATCTTAGCGGTAAGTAAAGGGATTCCCCACTTGGAACATTTCCTAGTTATATACATTAAAATTTTCTGTAAAATCTTACTCTCGCAGCTACTGATCCGATAGAGCTGCGTTACCAGATCAACTGGGTAAACAGCTGTATGGATCAGAGGCTAATGCTTCTAAATGACCGGGAGGAGATGTTGAAGAAGGAGCTGATGGATTCGGAAATGAAGCTGAGACAGGACGAACTGGTGCAACATAACTCCGTGTTAGTCTACGCCTGGGAAGTGGACAAGCTCAGGAGAAATACAAGGGAGTGGCAAGTCAAGCTGGATAATGATCTGGAAAATGCGGAGGACATGTGCACTATATCAAGGCTTGCTCTGCAGAAAGTCAAGGACGATCTGAAGTTCTATTTGGAGCAGGAGGAAATGTACCGCCAAAGAATAGCCGAGGTAAAGGAGCTCATAGCCGCGGAGAAGAAAATTCGGCAGCGAAAACAGGTGTGTTTTAACATATTAAAAACTCAACATCTATTACGATCTTAAGTTAATAATTTAGATATTTACGTTATGATTAAATAGAGTATTGGTCATTTGTGTGTCTAACAACCTTACTTAGTTTTCCTTATGCAAGATACATTAAAATCTTATAAAATATACAAACCTTTTTAATTACAAAGAAATTAATACTTGAAAAAACATTTGAAACTATGAGATACAAATTTTATTTCATTTTTCCAGGAAAAAACTGTGAACGATGTTGAGGAAGCAGTAAAGGCCATTGAGGCGGTTTATAAGCCAGAGGAATCCAAAAGGAAGTCAGCAAAATTCTAAAGCTCATCAATATTCGACAAAATGTATTTATGTTGGCAACCCAAACAAAATAATCAAAATCCCGTAATACATGAACTTAACCCCCAAAGGGTTGTTGCCTTCAAAGTCACTGCCAAAGGAACAGGCAATCTGGGGGTATTTATTTGGAGGGGGAGTGGGCCCAAAGTTAAGGCAAACATTTACCATATTCATTATTTTTGGCGGAGACAAATGAAATTACAGGCAAACGATTGCGGGGAGCTTGCCTCCCCAATTGCAGCTTAGAAAATCGAATTATGTGCAGTTTAGTCGCCGTAGTAACCCACCAGGAACACCCATTCCAAATCGGGGAACTATGAGGCTATATTCATGCATAGTTATTTTTTGCGCCGTGGCAACCTGAAAGTTGCCGCATAACTTTGCCTATGGTTGTTATCCGCTTCGTTGTATTATTTACGCTTAGAAAATAGAGAGTAGAAATTGTTCACCGACACTCGGAGGCGGATCGAAATTACCCAGATAAAATCCATTGGAATGCCAACAAATCCGCGACCCACGACCAACGGGAATACTCCGGAGGATTGGCAGGTATTCGAGGTTTTATTCGGTGCCGAAAATGGCACGAAAGTCAGTCCGGAAAGGATGACCACAATGTCACCTTTGAGACAACCACATCCATCTTACATTAACCAGGTAAGCAGTCTGTCTGTCGCTAAGGTATCCAAATCTAAAATTAGACTCGCCAAAATCGTGTGCCAAATTGCTATATAAGCGTGTAGACATCATATCAGTCTAGATTTATGTGATTTCGCAATTGAATAACGACTATTGTTCGGTGCTTTTTATGTTTCAAATTTATGCGGTTGTTAGGGGAACTAATGATGTTTGTAGGGGGATTTGCATAAAACTCAATGGGACTTGGAGTAACAGTGGTTGAGATTGCTAAAATGCTGGTAAAGGGTGCATAATCAAAGAATATGCATGAAAAATAAATTAAGGATATTAAAGCACTAGTGCTAACTAAATGGTTTTCATTTTATTAGGTTTAATTTATTGTTAGGGACCCACTTTACAATTCCTATACACTTTCTCTTTATTAAAGCATAATTGGGTTTTTAGCGAATTAAGAATTTATTACGCTTATACAGAAAGGGAAAAAGCTCTAAAAAATGAGAACCTTTTCAAACATTTTACCTTGCCCATATCAATTTCCTTTTGGAGCCAAACTCAATTGGCTGCATAATTAACTTGGCCAAGCTTATCGAATGTTCAGCACATTTTCAGTTCCCATTTATCTTCGCTGTTTCCCCCTTTCCAAAGTGCAGACAATTGGCCAAAACTTGCACACCTCATTTTCCGTTTCCGGCCAGGTTGAAAATTTCCACCGTAGAGGTAGAGCCCACTAGCCACCTAGCAAACCACCCAAAAACCCATTCCGGTGGCATCCGCATTCGCGTGCGTGAGTCCGTTGTGGATATTGCATTTGATACTTCGCCACTTGGCGCCATGTGAATGACCCAAATAATCCAAACAAACTGCAAAGTTTTCCCCATGTGTAAACGTGGCTAGAATGGTGTAACCTCACCACCGACCCCTTTGCCCCTGCCATTGAGCTCGTTTTCACTTGGAGCATAAATTTGAGCATTGTGTGATGTTATGTTGGAGTAAATTCCACCTCGGTTGTCAGGCTCCCCGAAAGGAGTTTTTCCCGAAGCAGAGCTCAGTTCTTCGACGTCTTTGACTGGGAACGGTTGGTTTGGTTTTTGGAGTGGTTGCAATCCGGAGTTCGTGGCTTAAAGAATGCCCAGTGATAATCATCTGCATCACCACCACTTGGGACACAGTGGTGGTCTATCGCCGCATCATCATCATTTGGTAGGGACGAGATATACCAATGGATCCATAAAAAGAGGAACCTTAAAAAAGGATATCAAACTAAACATTATTTAGTTTTTAAATTAATATAATTAAGCCCCGCCAATAATTTATTTTTATCAATATATTAGAACTTTTAAAATACTTTATTAAATTAAATTTTGTATTCCCAAAATTGGAAAAGGAAATTTAACTAACTTTTTAAGTTGGAGAAATTGTTGAATTTTCCTGATTTTCCAGCTGGACTCGTCCTGTGGCAATGCGGGAATCACGGTCACTGAACATCATCATGGACTGGACATGACTACCACCTTGCGCAGCGAATTGGCTGCGTTGTCCTACAAAAAGGAGCGACTTACGGGTGAAGTAAGAACCAAAGAGTCCTTATAAAATTGGCATACAAATAAAGATAACTTTTTTTCTTCCAAAGCTTTCTGAAACCCGTACTGCATTGTGCAGCAAAGAAGCGGATATCGAAAACCTGCGAGCCCAGGCTGCTCGGCAGACTGCTCTTATTGGTTCCCTCCAGAGTCGCTTGCAAAATTCGGAGAGCAGGGAGCAGTCCGTCCAGGCCAGATGTGATTCCACCATTCAGACAGTGCAGCGGGAGAAGCGGAGTTCCGATGAGCGAAACAAGGAGTTGATCTGCAAGATTCAGCACCTGGAAACTCATGTGGCCAGCGAGGAATCCCAAAAGGATCAGGCCAAGGCTCAGCTGCACGATCTCCTGCGACGCCTGAGCATCAGTTTGGGAATGGATGTGTGTGATGGCAATCAGAATTCCCATGCCACACCCGAGTGCATCGTTTCCCGAGCCGAAGAGGTAATGGTGGAACTGCAAAGGACCAAAGCCAAGGTCAGTTCCACCTGCGACACCCTCAGCTCCTGCGAGAATGAGCTGCTAAATATGAAATCGCTGGCCAATATCGAGAAGCAACGACTAACTGCCCAACTCGATGGAGCTGGAAATCATAATCACGAACTCGAAGGACGTTGTCGGCAGTACGAAAGGGATCTTCAGATTCAGAGGGATCGCCTAACCGAATCGGAGATCAATGGGGAGAAACTCAAGGAGGAATTGCGTGGCTTCGAATCGCGTTGTCATCGCCTGCAGAATAATCTAGACCGGACTCAGGGCGATCGTCTGCAGTTCTTGAGAGGACTAAGCAATCTCTTGAATGTTCCCGAACCCTGCGAAACGCTCATCAAGGACAAGTTGAGGGAGACTCTTGCGGAAAATCAGGCCATGCATGCGGTAAAAAGCTTGTTAACCAATTATTGACCTGATTTTTAATCTTATTTCTATCCCACAGCAAATGCATTCTCTGCGGGATCAATTGACCACGGAGCACGAAAAGCTAAAGGAAACCCAGCAGACCACCGAGTGTCGCCTGCGTTCTGGAGAGGCCCAAAAATGTGAACTAACTGAACGGCTGGAGAAGTGCCACGCCGAGATTCATACGTTGCGCAAGGATCACATGGGTCTGTCGGAATTCCTGCAACGCCTGGCCAATGCGATGAACTGGAGTGAGTGCTCTGCACCACCAGCACTGGGAACCGATACCAATTTGATGGCGGAGAATCTTCTAGAAAGAGCCGAGAGACTCACTGCTCATTGCGAGCACGAAGTGTCCCATCATCATCATCATCACAGCCCGGAGAAGGGTTGCTGTGATCACGGACATGGACATGGCCATGGTCATGGGAAACTGCGTAGGGAGAGATCCTGTCATGACATTCCCTTGAAGGAAAGCAGCAGTGTGTACAACCTACAGAGACGAGTGCGCGTTCTCAGGGAGCAAGTGCAGCGTAGGGATCTCCACTTGGAGCTACTGCGTCGCAAGTTGGCCATAATTGAGGATGGTGCTCGAGGAAAGTGCATGTTGCAAGGAGAGCGGGATGAGGCTGTTTGCCGGGCCAAAAAAGCGGCCAAGCAGGTGGACAAACTGAGTGCCCAGCTGGCCGATGCTAGATCCCAGATAGCAGAGGTCAAGGCCCAGTTGGCCGAGGCAGTGGAGTACAAGATCACCTCGCTGGAACGGGCCAGGAAGATCGATGAGCTGACCACCCAGATGTGCGATTTGGAGGACGAAAAGACCCGGCTATTGTCCCAACTCAGTGCCTTGAAGGAGCGCCTCAAGTCGTCCTGTGAGTCCAATCAGAATCGTAGATGTCGCGATGAGGCATTAATAAATGTGAGTACATCATAAAATTGAAATCTTAATAGTAATAAATTAATATTTAAACAATTTTTCAGTCAATGCGCGATGATGTGAATCGTCTGAGCTCACAACTTTCGGATGCCAATCAGCGCTTGTCCCACTTGCAATCCTTCCGAACTTCGGTTGCCAGGACACTGCATCTGCGAGATCTGCCGGAAACCGATCTACTGCATCGCCTTCAGGCCTTGTGCTCGGCCCATCAGGAGTTCACAATGCTCTCGAAACGCTACGAGACAGCTTCGCCAGTTGGCGATCATCCATGTCCTCGTTACGACGATCCCATACCACCTTCCGCCCACTGTCGCCCTCCCAGGGAGCTCAGTCCGCCTCCACCCACTTCCTTCCACCACAAGGCAACACTCCACTCCGGCAGCAGCCATCACCCACCGTCCGAGCATCACCATGGCTCCAGCAGCCATGTCCACAATCATCACGGACATGGACATGGACATGGTCACGGATTACATTCGAGACGCCAGCGCAGCAAGAGTCGGGACAAACGGCTCCACGACGAGTGCTTCGACACGGATGTGCATCGATTGCATCACGGCTGCAAGGAGGAGCTGCTGGCCACCGGATCCGAGGATGACTACGACTTCAAGAGCAAATACTGCTAGAGCATTACACCCTTTACATGCATTTGTATTTTCCGAGTAACTTAAAATAAAATATTGTTTCTCCATTTGAGGATAACTTTCTCTTTAAATTGTGTATGGTATGATTCTATAGATACCCAAACTCAAAGAAAAGGTCCAGTAAATTAAATTAAAATTCTATTTTTTATTGAATAATATTTTTATTAAATTTTTTTTATTATTAAATAACATTTCAAACATTATATTTAAACAAAAATGACTACAAATCTTTTTTCATTGTGTTTAGCCATGGCGGTTCTTTGTCTTCACAAATACCATATTCAAAGGCTTTTTAATATATATTAACATATGTAACTACAGTGGTTAGTCGGCACGAACTAATAAAAAGCAAGATTTAAATTTTTTTCTAGCTATTTTTGTGTAAAAAATAGTGACTGCACTATCTTGATTCTACATAAAACTTTTTTTTTTACATTTCTACATATACATATGTATACTAAGTAGTTTCCAGAATTAGCCGAAGGAGCGCTGCAAGTGCAAGAAGTTTGGTAAATAAACCTTAATAGGTGATAGGTACATTTTAAATTGGATTTTTCTATTTGATTCACTATCTCTTTTAGAGATAGTAAACATATTCACAACATCAAAAATTGCGACGTTGTTGTATCCAAAACACTTTAGGTCGGTCGCTCACCTGCTGGACACGAGTTTGCCGTCCATAGCAGCCTTGGTTGATTGACTTACCTGGCCATTATTCGTAAAACCACCAGACCCCGTGGACCATCAGAGGAATTATGCAAATAGGAAAAGTGTCAAACGCATTGTACCGCCTGCCGCATCACGGGCACCTGTCAAATAAATCAAAATTGACTACATGCAACCTGTTTTCCCAACCAAGTTCAGGCCCAGAGCAAACGGTGGCGCCTGGAAATGGGTGATTAATCAAAAGTTCAGTAAACGCTTTAATACGAATCCATGGCAATCCCACCGCAGAGTCAACGCCAATCAAGATGCATATTTTTGCATGTTCAAAATTACACAACACGTGAGTTGTAAGTAGTGCCCCATCATTTGCCGCACAGACTCGCCACAGACGACACCCAGAGCAATGAACTTGGACTGTCGAGATCGCTTCGCTCGACTTCCTCTGGTTCCCGTGGAAAGGAGGGAGGAATCTTGGCTGCACTCGGAACATAAACACTTGCACAAAAATGATATCAAAAGTTAGTAATTAATAGATCATAGTATTTATTAGTAGATATATACTAAAAGTATGTAATAATTCTAATTTATAAAACAACTTATCATAACTTTTGCCCACTTTTTAATTTGTGTGTCTTTTATCTTAAATGGATATCGCGAATTCTTGAGCTTGAAATTTTACAATAGAATAAGCAATGTCCGCAATCGCTTCATATGGAAATTAATCAATAAATATAAGTCGCTTTTCTACAGAATACAGTTTTTTTTCTGCTTAAACTGTAAGCTTTTGCTTCAATCTATGGATTGACTCAGCACAAGCAATAATACAAATAAATTCGGAGCCTATCGACATTGTTATTCATAAGGCTTTATTAATTTGTCATCAATTTAAAAATAGCAGCCTCAATTAATCATAATTCGTAATTTTATGAATATAGCAACGTTAGGTTTTGTGACACTTTTGCTTAGTCTTTTAGTTTTAGTTGTGGGAATATTCTTTAAGCATGTTTAGATTTCAAAAGATATTTATGTTCTTAATTTGCAGGACTTTCTCATAATTTTTTGTGGGAATTTTTCTTAGTGAAAAAAAGCAAACACATCCAGAAAACATGTTTATGAGGGGGTCAGGTTGGGGGCTGAGCGGGTGGTGCCGATTGCCACATGTGTGCCTGTAGCCCCAGTGTCTTGTTCTCTGGCTGATCTTGCCTCATGAGCCCGGAGTATGAGTTGTTAACAGCGGGGAGCGCATTTCGTTTCTTTTTGCAATTGAGTTCCTTTTTCCCCAACAGGTTTAACTCTTTGATCTGCTTCCTCCTCCTCTTCCCGCCTCCATATCTCCTGGCGACTTTTGATCTTTCGTTTCGAGGAGGATGAGGAGGTGAAGTTGGAGTAGGAGAGGTTCCACGATGGAGGAGATGCGGCCATTAGAGCCGCAGTCACTCAGGTGTGGTATAAGCCGCAAGAGAAGCCAGACTGGAAATGCGAGGCGAGGGAAATGGCTAGAAAGAAAAAGGAGACTAGCCCATAATTAATATCGTTGGGAATTTGATTTAACACTTTACGTCTTTAACAAATTGCCCATGTGTCAGGGATTTAATTGTGTAATTTGTAGATGTATTTAATGAAATGCTTTAAACAACGTCATGTATATTTGAAATTAAATAATTTATCGTTGCAGTAGTCAATTTTTAAAATCAATTTAAAACTAATTTAAATTACAATTAAATGCAAATATTAAATAAGCACAGAGATGGGCGTCGATCTGCTAACAATCCCTCTTTAATCTTTAAACACCCGACTTTAACTGTCCATCTAACTAATCCAGTTCAGTAATTTCGAAATGCAAATCCAATTCAGCAAAATCAACATCAAAAAAAAATATGAATGAAAAACACGGATAAAATTTGTGTACAATATGAATTAAATTGGCACTTTATACGTATTTTCCTTGACATTTTTCTTTCTGTGTGGCACGCAGATCAAATTCTAAAGGGTCAAACGGTGTGTGAGTTTTTGGCTTATTTTTCTTGCTGCCCACAGGAAACTGCCATTTGAAATGCGTTGCCCAACAAAAACTAGGACACAAACTATGGAAATGCGGACAAGTTTAAGTCCACAAAGCCAAACACGATGCGTGTGGTGCAGGGTCCAAAATAAATATATGCTCAGCCCAAAGGTTGGATGAGTGGAATAAAGGCGGACGGGAAGGTCGCAAGTGCCTTTGGTGTCACACCAAATTGTTTACAAATACAGAACACGCGTTGAAAAGCTGACATAAAGAATGGCAGTGAGGAAAGTGAAGGAATGAATCTGAAACCTCTGGCAACGCCTTACCTTGAAGCCAGGAATCTTCTCTTCTTTGCGATTTAATGGTTTTTTTTTAGCACAAAAGAGCCAGTAGCACCATCATCACCATCGTCATCATCATCATCATCATGGGTGCCTGACTGGCATCTGAGATGATTTTAATGTGGGTTTGCATTGACATTTCGGCGACATCCCATTTCCACTCTCGTAGTTTGTCGAGATTTGTTAAGGCCACAAGCTTCCGCTTATTGTTTGTTGGTAACAATTAAGCCGCACTTTTGCACCAGTCAACTAAAATAATCAAAATGTTTGCGGCTCACCCATGCACCCACAACCAAACAGATAAAAGAACTTGTACACTCAACAAAAGTAAAGGTGTACAATTATAAAGTTTAGTGGTTTTGGTAAAAGTAAATAAATGTTTTTTGAGTTCTTAAAACTGTGGTTTTAAATATAATTTTAATATGATTTGTAATAAATAAAATAATTTATATTTTTTGAAGATAGGACAAATTGTATGACTATTTTATGTCATAAATTTTCAGAATGTCTGCAAGGGTATTAAATCTTGCTCTCTTATCGTATTTTTTTTATTAATTACAATTATGTTTTTCTTTTGGTGTAATCTCCATTTTAAAACCGAAAGCAAATGCAATTTTTGAATTTTTTCATAGAGTTGAGAGTTGAGTTGGGAATGGCTTTGTCCATGAATTTGCATGTTTTGGCAGGGATCAGTTCTCTGTTTTGGGGAATGGCAGCTGCGGAATCATGGGGATTGCTTTGCCATTAGTCCGGTTGCTCCGATTGCGGACAATAGCAGCAGTCTTTGGCCCCATCAAAAATGCAAGCAGTGAATTGGCTATTACACACACATCGACCAATACAAAGTTGAATGCCAAACTGAATTTTTCGGGCTTAGCTTGTTTTTGATTAAAACGCTTTGGTTTGTGTTTGAATGGAGTATGAAAAAAGTTTGATGGGTTCCGATATATGCATCGGATAAACACAGTGCGAATTATACTCTTGACTGACAAGCCAAATCGATTAAATTGAGGCTCTTCAATGTGTGGCTTTATGAATGGATTATGTTCACGTTTATATAGAGCCCTTAAATATAATTTTATGAAGCTTACATTTTTCAATCAAAACTTTGTTTTAATTTTTAAACGTTCTTATGCATTTTTGCGTAATTATTACTACAAAAATATAGTATAGTTGAATAGTTTGTGTTGAATAGTTGATACATTATACAAAATCGATAATTTATCCTCTACCATGAGACTTCTTAGTATTATAAAAGTATCTTCCGAGAGATGGTCCATAAAGCAACATGATTTTGTGACATGACTCCCACTTCATCCTCTGCAATGTTTAACCCATTTCCCTGCTTTTGCTGAAACTCCCTTGCATTGTTCGCGTTGTATCAAGGTCGGCAGTTAATTAGACTTTCTGCTGTGGGAATCAAGTGAACAATTGCGCTTCCATTGCATCAGCGAGATGGATGAACATCCATCCACTTGGAGCACTTGGGAGTCGGAGCTGTTGGCCAAGTCAGCATAACATAACTGCACATTATTCAACGCGGCAAACAAAAATTGTAGATGTTTTAATTGTCCAACATGAAATAATAAATGCTCACCATAATGGCATTAATAATGGCGATGCACACATAAAACAATGAAACGAAAAAGCGACCATAAAATGCAAGCCAGGCCGCAGAAAAAGATTGTCCAGCCATTGGACCACCACTCTTGACTGCCACTCGATGTGTCTTAATTAGCATAAATATGCAGTGTGGTTATGCAACTGGCCAAAAGGGGAAGGTGAGTGTTGGTGGTGGTGTCACCCGAGAGCACCGCGACATCATTATACCCTTGCAGAGGGTATTATAATTTTGGTCAAAAGTGTGCAACGCAGTGAAGGAGACATCTCCGACCCTATAAAGTATATATATTCTTGATCAGGATCACCTCCTGAGTTGATATAGCCATGTCCGTCTGTCCGTCTGTCCGTCTGTCCGTCTGTCTGTTTCTACGCAAA